TCAAGTCGAAAGCCTTGTTTCGACTATTTTTTGTATCCAAAAAAACCTTTATTGCTATTTTCGATCACTTTTTAATTTCAACTTGATTTAAGATAACTTTCAGGTGGTCATAAATTCCATAATTTCCAGTAGTGTTTTTCCCCTTAATTGGTAGTCCATGCATTCTCTACACTTAATAAATATACAGCTATCAGCTCTCTAGTTCTAGATTTAACACTCATGATAATGCGGCACAGATCCAAATCCAATAGGGTATTTGTCTTGGAAAAGGCGCCTCAACATCATTGAAGGAACTGCACAAGGCTTACTTTACCTTCACAAATATTCAAGAGTTCGAATCATTCACAGAGACATGAAAGTTAGCAACATATTACTTGATGAGAATATGAATCCAAAAATTTCCGACTTTGGAATAGCCAAGATACTCAAGCAAAATGTCACGGAAGCCAACACAATGAGACTAGTTGGAACATTGTAAGTAGGAAGATATCTATTGGTTTGCTCCATATATATTTCCTTCATAACCTAATGTGTGTGTGTTTTTTTATATAAAATAGTGGTTACATGGCACCTGAGTATGTCTTGCATGGTGTGTTCTCTATGAAGTCGGACGTCTATAGCTTTGGAGTATTATTACTGGAGATTGTAAGTGGCAAGAAGAACAATGGTTTTCGCAGTGAGGATGGCCCCCTGAATTTGGTAGAACATGTAAGCCTAATACAACTTTAAACACTTGGTTTCATGTTTGCAATGTAATTGCTTGCAACCATTATTGTTTGGCCACATTGCAGGCATGGGAGTTATGGAACAAAGATGCAGTTTTACAGCTAGTGGATCCATCATTAATAAGCAATAATTTGTGTGGCAATGAAGAACAGTTGCGTAGATGCATCAATGTAGGACTAATATGTGTAGAAGATTCTGCTGTCGACCGACCACCCATGGATGATGTGGTTTCCATGTTAACCAATGAGAATTTGGCATTGCCAAAGCCCAAAAAACCTGCATTTGTCTCGAGATTTAATGTGGGTGACACATTTCAAGATGGTCAATCAAGAAAGTTCACAGTGAATGAACTCTCCACTTCCACCATGGAGGCAAGATAGTTCTGCAATTTGGTGAAATTCCCTTTAGTGGGAGAAGTAAATTAGTATTGACAAGAATGAAATTCATGATTTTTTGATAAATAATCATATTTTAGATACTAGTCCAAAACTCTTTCAGGACAATTATGTGTTTATACTTAATTAAGGGTATGCATAAGTGAGTTTATCTATTCTACTAGGGATACTGTACTCATCATCTTCAAGGATGTCACTAACCAAAGTGGGGGCTGGGGTGTCATCAAAAACTATAAAGCCCAAGATTTGGTTTTCTGGGAGGCTTGTCATCAACCGTTTTATTTGTTGAGTACTATTTGACTCTGTTACAATGTAGTATATGTTCATATATACTTTTCACAGTTATGCTGTTTGACCAAAAGGTTTTTAACATCAATCACTTTATTTTGTTAGTTATAAATGTACTTAACCTCCACAAAAGTGAATTTCAAGAATAATATTACATACATTTTCACTTTTTATTCTAAGTTGTACTCCATTGACTTTGTTTGATTAATTAAAAAAACATTACAATACATATAGTTATAGTTTTTGTCTGGTGTCTCCTCCACCCACCCCCCCCCCCCCCAAAAAAAAATACATATAGTTTTTATTGCTTTTCTCTATCAAAATGTGAACAATAATACAGTTGTCATTTTCCTTATCTAAACCATAAATAATTACACGCGCATTGCACTTAGCACACAAAATTAGACGCTGATTGGTTTTTAAAGCTCAATCCGAGAAAAATCCAAATATACGAAACAACCAAGAAAGGTGAGTCGTTTTGTTGTGCATCCGTGTCCACCATAGTGCACACGGATACAAAAACGATGTCGTTTTGATATCGACTTAAAAAAAAAATTCAGAATTGCATAACTACACATTCATAATTTCACAAGTATACATTCAGAATTGCATAACTACATACACATCTATAACTTCATTACTATACATCCAGAATTGCATAACTACACATCCATAACTTCATAACTATAAATCCAGAATTGCATAACTATAAATCCATAATTTCATAACTATACATTCAGAAATTATGTACAATAATGTACAACATAATTATGAAACGACATCGAACACAATTTAGATCTGGCATGAAAGGTGACGAAAACTTAGCTTGAAACACAGTTTAGATCTGGCAATTTTTTCAACCCAATCCTCTCTTCACAAAATAGGCACGTACGGTACGGTATATGAAAGCGGTGAAGGATGAAGCTTCTATCCATGGAAGTGCTGCTCTTCCTACTGATTTTGTGTTCTGTGGCCTCAGTTGCTTCGTCGCAGATGGACAGTATGAAACAAGGTGATATGTTGAACTCCTCGGAATCCACTTTTCTTGTGTCCGCCGGCAAGATTTTCACCTTAGGATTCTTTACGCCGGAGAGTACCAACATGACTTACTTAGCAATATGGTTCACCGGAAGTTTCACCCGAAGAGTTGATGTTGAAAGGGTGATATGGATAGGCAACAGAGAAGCGCCTCTCCCAACAAATTCCTCTGCTAAGCTTCTCATAGATGCTTCTGGGAGATTGATACTCACACACAATGAGAAACAAGGCACTCCTTACCCGGTTTCATCCAAGCGAACTAGCCGGAATGTCTTAGTGACTTTATGAAATTTCCGACCATCTGAAAGTGATCTTAAATCAAGTCGAAAGCCTTGTTCCGACCACTTTTGGTATCCGGAAAAATCTTTGTTGCTTTTGCTTTCAAATTGATTTAAGATCACTTACAGGTGGTCAGAAAATCCATAATTTCCAGTAGTAATTCCCATGCATATATACGCTGATATAACCCATGCTAATTGCTAGAAATGGATTGCAGAAGGAGATGGAAGTAGTAGCAGTAACTCAAATAAGTGGAAATGGATTGTTATATCCCTTGTAATAACAATAGCCACCATAGTCATAGTCCTGCTGGGCTTGCTTCAGTTGCGCTGGAGACATGACAATAAAACATTTTATATTGATTAAAGCCAACATGCTTTAAAAACATTTATAAAGATCTTAAAGCTAACAATATATTACTCGACGAAAATATGAACCCAAAGATTTCAGACTTTGGTATAACTAAGATTCTAAGGCAAAATGCCGTAGAAGCAAAAGAAATGAAGTTTGGTGGAACACGGTCGGTGGGAAGAAGTTGACTTCATTCATTTTCTCTTATGATTTTTTTAAAAAAAGTTTTTCAAATCTTCCTTCCAAATCCATAAACTATACATATTCTCGAATATAAAACAATGGTTACATGGCCCCCCGAGTACATAAAGAAAGGATTTTTTTTTCACGAATCGCAGCAGACAGATTTCAAGAAGACGAATCAAATAAGTTTACAGTGAATGAACTCTCTATTTCAGCTATGGAGGCAAGGTTCTTAGTGCAGTATAAATTTACATATTTTTCTGAGGACAAAAGCTACTTAAAAGCCTCTTCAAATTCTACTTTTCTAATTTTAAAGATGAAGCAAGTTTCAAATTTTAATGAGTACTCCTTTGAAATTAATTTTACATTCGCTCATTATTAATTTTGAACGTATAATATAAATCAAGTTCATCATCTCAATTAAGATAATCCGAATCCAATTAGGCTCAACTTAAATAAGAAATAACCCAACTCAAGTTAATATTTCAAAATAACCACTTGAAATGTAAATTTTCGAAGCGTTAATTGCTAGTATTTGATTGCAGAAGAAAACGACAGTAACTTAAAGAAGTGGGTATGGATTCTTATATGGATATGGAGGTATAAGAGAAGTATATTGATATTCATGAACTCAACAATGGTGAGAATAGCAATCTCAAAGTTTTTAGCTATGCTTGGGTCTATACTATTTGTGGTGTATGTTTCATATGTTATTGGAATATGGCAGGTGTTGGAGGGTAACTGAAATGTCAACTCACCATGCACCTAAGTAGGTAATCGGTAGAAATGAATGATAACATGCGATCAAGTGAAGTTGCATACATTTGGTGTGTTCAATGACCTAATTGCATTTTTTTTTTTGGAATAAAGGTCAAATAGGTCATTCAACGGCACTCAATAATGCAATTAGGCCACCGAACTTTAAAAAGCTACAATTGGGCCCTGAACTAACCAATTATATTCAATTAGTCAAATTTGTAGGTTTGATAATTAGCAAGTCACCTCTAATTTAAAATATTTTTTAAAAATTATTATTTAAAATAATTATTTATTTATTTATTTTTTTTAAAAAAAAGATACCGTCTCCGGCCATAGAGACGGAGATAACTTCTTCGTCTCCATGGCCGTAGACGAAGAAACTCTTCGTCTCCATGGCCGGAGACGAAGAGTCTCTTCGTCTCCGGGCATGGAGACATCTCCATGGCGGGAGACAAAGAGGGTCTCTTCGTCTTCGGCAGAGGCGATCTGTTTTTTTTTTTTTTTTTTTTTTTCTTAACTTTAAATAATTATTTTAAATAATAATTTTTTTAAAAAAATTTTTTTTGATAAGGGGTGACCTACTAACAACTTGAAAAACTTACAAATAAGACTAATTGCATAAAATTGGTTGGTTCAGGGATTTAATTGTAGTTTTTTTAAGTTCAGTGGCCTAATTGCATTGTTGTGTGCAGTTTAGTGGCCTAATTACATTTCTTCTTTTTTCGTTCAATGATCTAATTGCACTTTTCATTACATTTCATGACCAATTTCAACGTTATTCCTAATTTTTATTGCCTTAGTCTAATAAAATGTGAACAATAATACAGTTGTCATTTTCCTTATCTAAACCATAAAATATTGTAAAAAATAAAAAATAAAAAAATTACCAAATTTCACGTGCACCACACTTAGCACACAAAATTAGACGTTGATTGGTTTTTAAAGCCCAATCCCAGAAAAAACCAAATATACGAAACAGCCATGAAAGGTGACGAAATTAAACTTAGTTTGAAACACAGTTTAGATCTCCCAATTTCTTCAACCCCCAAGGCTAAAGCATTGGTGGATAGGATGAAGCTTCTAGCCATGGAAGTGCTGCTTTTCCTAGTGATTTTGTGTCCTGTGGCCTCAGTTGCTTCGTCGCAGACGAACAGTATGAAACAAGGTGATGTGTTGAACTCGTCGGAATCCACTTTTCTTGTGTCCGCCGACAAGGCTTTCACCTTAGGATTCTTTACAACGGAGAGGACGCAAATGAGTTACTTAGCAGTATGGTTGACCGGAAGCCTTGCGGGTAAAAGGCCGATATGGATAGGCAACAGAGAAGCGCCTCTCCCAGTAAATTCCTCTCCTAAGCTTCTCATAGATGCTTCTGGGAGATTGATACTCACGCACAACGAAAGTCAAGGCAGTCCTTACCCGGTTTCATCGAAGCGAACTAGCCGGAATGTGTCAGCCACTTTACAGGATTCCGGCGAGTTGGTACTTCGGGAGAGGAACGCCGATGGGTCATGGGGGCAGGAAGTGTGGAGTAGCTTCGAAAACCCCACGGATACCCTTTTGCTGGGGATGAAGTTGGGCGTGAACCATAGAACGGGTCGGAAATGGAGTGTCACATCATGGCTGAACGGGTATTCGGCGGCCCCGGGGGCGTTTAGTCTGGAATGGGAACCAATCAAACGGCGACTGGTTATCAAGTACCGAGGAGTGGCTCATTGGAGCAGCGGAGAGCTGAAGAATACTACACATTTCCACCACTTATTCTTCCCCAAACTCCAATTCCTCAACATTTCGACCAAAACAGAGGACTATTTCACCATTGCACCCAAACCCAACCGATCTGATCATATTCCTTATCCTCTAGTGGCTTTGAGACTGGAGCCTGAGGGCTTGGTGTACGACATCATCAACGGTAACCTCATTATTGACACCCGCAAGTGTTACGGGTACGAGAATAGAACCCAGGAATCAATTGGGTGTGAGGTTTGGGAACAACCGGCGTGCAGGGATGGTGCGCAAACGTTCGAGGGAAATTCTGGGTTCTTCTTCAACTCCACCCAATTAGGAGTCGCAGTGCCTCAAAACTACACAGCCTTGGACTCCACTGATAGCCCCAGTGACTGCAGAGAGAAATGCTGGAAGGACTGCGACTGCGTTGGCTATCTAGCCTACAGTAAAGGGTGTATGTATTGGAGGGGAACATCTTTGCAATTTCAACAAGACAACACTGGCCTATCAGCAAATGTCTATGTTATAAACCGTCCAATTAAGGGTAAGTCATGAAACAGGATGAATTCACATTCTCATGCATGGCTTTAAGTTACACTGCGGGTGAAAGCTTCCCATGCGATTGTGCACACGATTAATGTGCGTAAGTGTGTAGTGCTTAATGTGCGTGAGTTTTGTATTTAATGTGTATATGAGTCGTTTAACGTGCCTGAGGTTTGTGATTAGTGCTTAATGTGTATGAGTTTTGTACTTAAGTGCGTGAATCTTGTGCCTAAGGTGCTTAGTGCTTAATGTGTATGAGTTTTGTACTTAAGTGCGTGAGTCTTGTGCCTAAGGTACGTGAGTTGTGTGCTTAATGTACGTGAGGTTTGTGCTTAATGTGCGTGAGTGTGTAGTGTTTAATGTGCGTGAGTTTTGTATTTAATGTGTATGAGTCGATTAACGTGCGTGAGGTTTGTGCTTAATATGCGTGAGTGTGTAGTGCTTAATGTGTATGAGTTTTGTACTTAAGTGCGTGGGTCTTGTGCCTAAGGTACGTGAGTTGTGTGCTTAATGTGCGTGAGTGTGTGTTGTTGTTGAAATTTTAAAATGCATGAGTTTTGTGCTTAATGTGCATGAGTATTGTGCTTAAGGTGCGAGTCTTGTGCTTAAGGTGCGTGAGTGTTTACTTAATATGAGTTGTTAAAAGTTAAGGTATGTGTGTTGTTGTTAAAACTTAAGGTATGTGTGTTTTTGTGCTTAAGGTGTGTGAATTTTGTGTTTAAGGTGCGTGAGTTTTGTGCTTAAGGTGCGTGGGTTTGTGTTCTGAATGTATTTTGTTTGTATGTTTAATGTGCGTCTGTTGTGTACTTAAATTGCGTCAGTGTAATGTTTAATGTGAGTCAATCGCACGGGAAGCACCACCAGGACCTGATCCCTTCCCGATTGACATATATTCTCATGCATATATACGCTGGTATTACCCATGCTAATTATATTGCTAGAACTGGATTGCAGAAGGAGATAAAAATCATAAAAGTAGTAGCAGTAACTCAACGAAAAAGTGGAAAAGGATTGTTATACCATTGTAATAATAGCCACCATACTCATAATCCTGCTGGGCTTGCTTCAGTTGCGACGGAGAAGGAGAAAACAAGGTAAGTTTTCATGGATCTATTCACGTACATTTCTTGAACTGTGTGTAATGGTGTATTGTATATATGTTAGCAGAAGAAATCAGACAACAACTAAAGGATTTATTCACCTTAGAAGAATACACTGACATTCATGAACTCAGCAATGATGAATGCGTTCAGGGCAGCAATCTCAAACATTTTAGCTATGAATGGATTGTTGCTGCAACAAATAACTTCTCACCTGTCCATAAATTAGGACAAGGCGGTTTTGGAAGTGTTTATAAGGTACTCTTTGGATTCGACAATGATGGTTCTGTACTTCTATGCTACCTGCATGACTTCTTTAATTTGTTGCTTGGTTTTCATGTCTTGTTCGATGAATTGAAGTTACTTTGATATTATTAGGGAGTAACATCAGAAGGACAAGAAGTAGCTATAAAACAATTGTCAGAAAATTCAAAACAAGGGCTCGTGGAGTTCAAAAACGAGGTGGTGTTGATAGCAAAACTCCAACATACCAATCTTGTAAAGCTACTTGGTTTTTGCATTCATGGCAACCAAAGGATGCTCATCTATGAGTTTATGCCTAATAAAAGCTTAGATTTTTTCCTCTTTGGTATGCATATTTTTTTCAATTAATTACTATTCCATGTATGTGTGTGTATATATATATATCTACAATTGATGCATCTCAACTCTCTAGTTTTAAACTTAAGAATAATATTGTTTCATCAAGCCTAGATCCAAATCGAAAAGAGCATTTGCCTTGGGAGAAACGTCTCAGCATAATTGAAGGAATTGCACAAGGGCTGCTTTATCTTCACAAGTATTCAAGAGTAAGAATCATTCATCGAGATATGAAAGCTAGCAACATATTACTTGATGAGAATATGAATTCGAAAATTTCAGATTTCGGTATGGCTAAGATTCTCCAGCAAAATGAAACAAAATCAAACACAAGGAGGTTAAGTGGAACATTGTAAGTCAAAAGAAATATATTCATTTATTCTTTTGTTTCCTTTTCAAAACATAAGTTTACTTGAAATTAAACTACAAATTGAATTTAATTTCTTTCCTAACCCATTATGTATGTATACTTCAATTTAAAATAGCGGCTATATGGCCCCTGAGTATGCAATGGAAGGTATTTTCTCTACCAAGTCAGATGTCTACAGCTTTGGAGTACTAGTGTTGGAAATTATAAGCGGCAAGAAGAACAGTTACTTCCGCAGTGAGGATGGGCCATTGAATTTGGTCGAACATGTAAGCCTAATACAACGTTAAGCATTTGTTTTGGTGGTTAGTTGCAATATATTTGGTAGCAATAATCAGTGTTGTTGCAGACATGGGAGCTATGGAACAGAGATGCAGTGCTACAAATTGTTGATCCAGCATTAAACAACATATCTCTCAAGGAAGAACAGTTGCAGAGATGCATAAACCTGGGATTGCTGTGTGTAGAAGACCTCGCAGTCGACCGACCATCTATGTCCGATGTTATTTCTATGTTAACCAACGAGAATTTGGCGTTGAAAAAGCCCAAGAAACCTGCATTTGTCTCCAGATACAGTGTGGTCCATGGATTTCAAGAAGACAGGTCAGAAAAGTTCACAGTGAATCAACTCTCCATTTCAGCAATGGAGGCAAGATAGTGTTGCAATTTGAAATGAAATATTTATATTGAATGTAGTTCATAATGCCAAAATCTCACAAAGTATTCTTACTTTTCCCTTCTGATTTTACTTTTCAACATTCATCTCTTAACATGGTAATAAAACACTGTATATTATTAAATCCGTCATGCCTTAAAAACAATTGCTAGTTGATTTATATTTTATAAGTTTAAACCCCAAACTAAAAGAAATTCATATTATGCTTTTGTCCTAAAGACATGTAGTACTTTAAATTCTATATTTCAGAGTCAAAATTGGCAGGCAGATATGTACCCTGGAGTCATGGACTGGTTTATTATATTAGCCTTTGTCCACCGACCATGTCCCTTATATTTGCCATTTGAATAGGACACCACCGATATTGTGAAACCTCTATATGTTCTGAACCGTCCAGCTCAGGGCCGGATTTTAGGCTGTGTAAATTAGGCTACCGCAGAGAATTTCAAATTTTAGAGGGGAGCTCAAATTGTGATTTTGATAAAATCTCATTTATTTAGTAAAATGGGACCATAAAAATCTTAAAATTGATCCTGGTCAGCTAAGGGTAAGTTAGGAATTAAGAAGTGGATATGTCGGATTTTTATACCCACAGCAATATACCTACTCCTTCTAGGCTTGCATCTATTGTGGTGGAGGCGGAGAAAACAACGTACTCAATTTATTAAATTTACTCGTGCCTATTAGGTTGTGTACGGTAATATCATGTATAATCATCTAATTAAATACATTCTAACCGAAGAACCAAGAAAGGAGCAAGAACTTAAATATTTATTGATATTAGATGATTATATTGATATTCATGAACTCAACAACGGTGAAAATGTTAATGTTAAAGTTTTTAGTTACGAATGTATTGAAGTTACAACAAACAACTTCTCACTTAATTGCAAATTAAGACAAGCAGATTTGGAATTGTTTATAAGGTTTCACTTTCACTTTGAAAGCCAGTCTAGTCGATTGGTTTCGGAAGTGAAAACCTGTCTGGTCGACTGATTTCTAGAAGTTCCGGCTGTTGGACATTTCATATAGGTAGAGAGGTGGATAGACTATGGAGAAGGAAAAGTTGGAAAAGGACTATCCCAAAAAAAAAAAAAAAAAAAGTCATTTTCTTGAAAATGTTAGGCATTTTCATTGATCAAGACTTTGTTTTCCATTGACCTTACATTTTCCATTTTGCCAATTATAAAGAATCCAGAAAATGATTTCACGGGTTTCTAAACAAAGACTAAGTTATACTCTATCAACTTGGTTTGATTGATTAAAATTTAAAGGAATAAGGTTCAAATTGGCCACTGAACGTAACCTGAAAATGCAATTAGGCCACTGAACGAAAAAAAAGTGCAATTAGGCCACTGAACACTCCAAAAATGTGCAATTTCACCTGATAGCAGGTTACCTGCTTACATGGCAGCTGAGTTGGCATTTTTAATAAATTTTAAATAATTTTTAATAAATTTTAATAATAAATTTTTATAAAAAAATTAAAAAATATATATAAAAACAACTTTATTTTATTTTTTATTTAATTTTTTTTCAATTTTTTTTTAAAATTTATTATTAAAATTAATTATTAAAAATTATTAAAAATGCCAACTCAGCTGCCACATAAGCAGGTAACCTGCTAAAATTGATGGTAACCTGCTATCGGTGAAATTGCATACGTTTGGAGAGTTCAGTGGCCTAATTGCACGTTTTTGAAGTGTTCAGTGACCTAATTGCACTTTTTTTTTTCGTTCAGTGGCCTAATTGCATTTTCAGGTTATGTTCAGTGGCCAATTTGAACCTTATTCCAAATTTAAAAAGCACGTAGTACAATATAATTTTTATTGTCTGTCTCTATTAAAATGTGAACAGTAGTACAATTGTCATTTTGCTTCTTTTTTTTTTTTTTTGAGTACAGTTGTCATTTTCCTTATCTAAACCAATAAATATTGTAGAAAACACGTGCATTGCACTTAGCACACAAAATTAGACGCTGATTAATTGGTTTTTAAAACCCCAATCCCAGAAAAAATCCAAATATACGAAACAGCCATGAAAGGTGACGAAATTAAACTTAGCTTGAAACACAGTTTAGATCTCCCAATTTCTTCAACCCAATCCTCTCTTACGGTACATGAAAGCGGTGAAGGATGAAGCTTCTAGCCATGGAAGTGCTTCTCTTCTTACTGATCTTGTGTTGTGTGGCCTCAGTTGCTTGGTCGCAGACGGACAGGATGAAACAAGGTGATGTTTTGAACTCATCGGAATCCACTTTTCTTGTGTCCGCCAGCAAGAATTTCACCTTAGGATTCTTTACGCCGAAGAGGACCAACAGGACTTACTTAGCAATATGGTTGACCGGAAGAATTGAGGATGAAAGTCCGATATGGATAGGCAACAGAGAAGCGCCTCTCCCATCAAATTCCTCTGCTAAGCTTCTCATAGATGCTTCTGGGAGATTGATACTCACGCACAACGAAACACAAGGCAGTCCTTACCTGCTTTCATCCAAGCGAACTAGCCGGAATGTGTCAGCCACTTTACAGGATTCCGGCGAACTGGTACTCCGGGAAACGAACGCCGACGGGCAGGATGTGTGGAGTAGTTTCGACTACCCCACGGATACCCTTTTGCCGGGCATGAAGTTGGGCGTGAACCATAGAACGGGTTGGAAATGGATTCTCACATCATGGCTGAACGAGGATTCGCCGACGCCGGGGGCGTTTAGTCTGGAATGGGAACCAATCAAACGGCGAGTGGTTATCAAATACCGAGGAGTGGCTCATTGGAGCAGCGGAGAGCTGAAGAATGCGACACATTTCCAGTACTTACCCGACTACTACGACATCTTCAATGTACGATTCCTTAACATTTCCACAAAAACAGAGGACTATTTCATCCTTGCCGTCAGTGAAATACATGATAGTCTCGTGGCTTTGAGACTGGGCCCTTATGGCTTCGTGTACGACCCCATGCACAGTTATGAAATTATTGACGCCAGAGAGTGTTACGGGTACGAGAACAAAACGCAGGAATCAAAAGGGTGTGAGATTTGGCACCAACCGGCCTGCAGGGGGGTTGGGCAATGGTTCGAGTACAGATCTGGGTTCTTCTTGAACTATACCCAATTAGGAGTCCAGGAGGCTGCAGGCTACTTAGACGAAGACTCCACAGCTGCCAGCTTCAGTGACTGCAGAGAGAAATGCTGGAAGGACTGCCACTGCGTTGGCTATCAAAGCTTGGAACAAGGAGGGTGTAAATACTGGAGTGGAACATCTTTGCAATTTCAACAGGACAACACTGGCCTAACACCACCGATCTATGTTATAAACCGTCCAATTAAGGGTAAGTCTGAATGATAACTTGCTTCAAATTATTTTAAATTTAATTTTTCATGAAATTTACTGGGCGTTTGGTTGAAATGGAATTTAAATTCCCTTTCCACTTAATTCTCACATAATTTCAAAGATCACAAAATTCCCTTGTTTGGTTGAAAGGAATTGCAATTCCCCTATTTTCATTGAATTAAAATACCATGTCCCCCTTGGGATTTTAATTCCTGAAATTTTATAAAAAAAAAAACAGTGATGAGTCAAAATTACCCATTCCTTTTTTAGCCTAAAATTAATGTCTGACAATAACAATGGACATTTTGGACTTTATACTACTTATTCCCTTTCAATTCCAATGTATACCAAACATTGGAATTGAAATTCTCAGTAATTCTATTCTTGTAAACCAAACACTGGAATTTAAATTCTCATTTTATTTCCAGTAATTCATCTCCCATGGAATTACAATTGTTTTCCCATGTAATTCCCCTCTCCAACCAAACGCTCTGTTAGGGTTAATATATAAAATTTATATATTTAGAAATTATACTAAAAGAATTATTAAATACAAAAATTAAATTTAAAAATAAACAGAATTGATTTAATGAATAATAAGTAGAACATATAAAATGAGACAGAAAAAGTACTAAATTGTGTCATAGGAATGTCTTAGCAGGAATCAACTGATGGACTGGTCTAATAAAATCAAAATTTTAAGAATTAGTCCCATAAAAAATCAATCTGATGGTACGAATTGAATGAGCTAGCATGAAATATAGCGGACTAACTTAAATGACTTAAGCTTATTCTTTGTTTAGTAAGTTATGTAAAATAAATAAATTATACATATATAGTCTCATATTTAGTACTACCTCTATCCCATTTTATGTGTCTGATTCAATTAACGAGGCTTGACTTAAATTATTTTTAATTGCTTCAAAAAAAGTTATTTTTAATTCAATTTTTCATAATATTAAGTTCAGTATTAGCATACAAAATTTATATATTTAGAAACTAAACTAAAAGTACTATTAAACACATACAAAAAAAAATCAAATTCAAAATTAAGTTAACAATATTAAAGAAAATAAACAAGGAATAAAAAGTTAGTCTGACTAATGAATATTAATTAGTATTTTTTTAAAATTTGTAAATAAAATTTTAATAAATCTATTGTTTTGTTGGAACTAGATCCACCATAACTTGGGTATATAGGTACAGAACAGGATAGGAAAATAGTAACATTATTACCTAGGGCACTAGACCCAAAAAATAATACGCACAAATTTCGATATATATACTAGTCCAAAATAACAGTCCAAATAATAAATAAATAAATAATAAATATTATAACCCTAAGGAATGCAATAGAGCCCAAAAATGTGGTCCGCATAATAAATATAATATAAGTTAGGGATAAAGTACAACTAAGCCACTGAACTATTTGGGAAAAAGCAATTAAGCCACCGAACTCAAATAACCTCCAAATAAGCCATTGAACCCGGAAAAAAAGAGCAATTAACATTTTTAACAAGTTAACTCTAGGTTTTTGCTGACGGGATTGCAAAAATGTTTATTTTATTTACAATTTTTTTATTATTATAATCCACCTACATAGTAATATATTTTAAAGTAATTATAATCAAAGTAGTTTTGTCTTGTCTAGATCTAATTTATTTATTTATTATTATTTTTTAAACAAGAGATCCAGTGAAAAAATAATAATAAATAAATAAATCAAATCTCGACAAGACAAAATTATTTTGATTATAATTACTTTAAAATATAATACTATCCAAGTGGATAATAATAATAATAATAATAATAATAATAATAATAATAATAATAATAATAATAATAATAATAATAATAATAATATTTGGCAATCCAATCAGCAAAAACCTGGAGTTAACCTGTAAAAAATGTTAATTGCTCTTTTTTTCAGGGTTCAATGACTTATTTGAGGGTTATTTGAGTTCGATGGTTTAATTGTTGTTTCCCAAATAGTTCAGTGGCTTATTTGTACTTTATCCCTATAAGTTATAACACTAATAATGAAATAGAAATAACAATACGTCATCAAGAGGGAAAAGACTCATACCAATAGACCAGAAGGGGTTTTGGTGAGCAAATGGATGATTTTTAAGGGGAGGAATGGTGCCTATTTATATTATTGAAGGACTAACGGATAGTTGACAAATGGACGGCATCAGACAACCCTCATTATTGGCCAATCTGTCCCCCACTACTTTGTTTTTAGCGCACTCCATGCGTACGTAAGTGGAGCTTCGTGCCTTTAGTACTTGGTTAGTGAGAGGTTGTGTTAAAAAACCCCAATAATATCTCTTTAAATATTTTACTCCAAACTTCCTTCTTCATCCGTCGAGCTAAGACTTATCCAATAAAATGGGCCCGACAAAATAAAATTATAATTTAGTCAAAATTCAAGGTTGAAAGTTTAAATTGATTGGATGATGTATAAACTTATATTACAACCCCAATTTTTAGAGTTAGAACAAAAAATAAAAAAATCAATTAATAACCAGAATCCATAAAATCCGATAGTTCGATAATAGTGCTACCAGGAAACAAGATGAATTGACATTCCCATGCATATATACACTGATATAACCCATGCTAATTGCTAGAACTGGATTGCAGGAGACAAAAAGAAGTGGAAATGGATTGTTATACCCATTGTAATAATAGCCACCATACTCATAGTCCTGTTGGGCTTGCTTCAGTTGCGGCGGAGAAGGAGAAAACAAGGTAAGTTTTCATGGATCTATTCACGTACGTTTCTTCAACTGTGTGTAATGGTGTATTGTATATATGACCATCAAATTGAACATATATATGTTAGCAGAAGAAATCAGACAACAGCTAAAGGATTTATTCACATTAGAAGAATACACTGATATTCATGAACTCAGCAATGACGACTGCGTTCAGGGCAGCAATCTGAAACATTTTAGCTATGAATGGATTGTTGCTGCAACAAACAACTTCTCACCTGTACATAAATTAGGACAAGGCGGTTTTGGAAGTGTTTATAAGGTACTCTATATTTAGATTTGACAATGATGGTTTTATATATGCTACATGCACAACTTCTTTGTTGCTTTGCTTGGTTATCATGTGTTGTTTTGTGAATGTTACTTTGATATTATTAGGGAGTAACATTGGAAGGACAAGAAGTAGCTATAAAACAATTATCAAAAAGTTCAAAACAAGGGCTGGTGGAGTTCAAAAACGAAGTGGTGTTGATAGCAAAACTCCAACATACGAATCTTGTAAAGCTGCTTGGTTTTTGCATTCATGACAACCAAAAGATGCTCATCTATGAGTTTATGTCCAATAAAAGCTTAGATTTTTTCCTCTTCGGTAATTGTTTTATTTAGTTTAATGCATATTTTTTCAATTAATTAGTATTCCATGTGTGTGTATATATATATTCTCTACAAATGATGCATCTCAAATATCTAGTTTTAAACTTAACAATAATGTTGTTTCATAACGCCTAGATCCAAATCGAAAAGAGCTTTTGACTTGGGAGAAACGTCTCAACATAATTGAAGGGATTGCTCAAGGGCTGCTTTATCTTCACAAGTATTCAAGAGTAAGAATCATTCACCGAGATATGAAAGCTAGCAACATATTACTTGATGAGAATATGAATCCGAAAATTTCAGATTTCGGTATGGCTAAAATTCTCAAGCAAAATGAAACAAATGCAAACACAATGAGATTAAGTGGAACATTGTAAGTCAAAAGAAATATATTCATTTCTTCTTTTGATTCCTTTTAATATACAAGTTTACTTGAAACTACAAATTAAATTTTCTTCCTAACCTATACTTCAATTTAAAATAGCGGCTACATGGCCCCTGAGTATGTAAAGGAAGGTATTTTCTCTACCAAGTCAGATGTTTACAGCTTTGGAGTACTAGTGTTGGAAATTATAAGCGGCAAGAAAAACAGTAACTTCCGCAACGAGGATGGGCCATTGAATTTGGTCGAGCATGTAAGCCTAATACAACGTTTAAGCATTTGTTTCCGTAGTTAGTTGCAATATATTTGGTAGCAATAATCAGTGTTGTTGCAGACATGGGAGCTATGGAACAGAGATGCAGTGCTACAAATTGTTGATCCAGCATTAAACAACATATCTCTCAAGGAAGAACAGTTGCAGAGATGCATAAACCTGGGATTGCTGTGTGTAGAAGACCTCGCAGTCGACCGACCATCTATGTCCGATGTTATTTCTATGTTAACCAACGAGAATTTGGCGTTGAGAAAGCCCAAGAAACCTGCATTTGTCTCCAGATACAGTGTGGTCCATGGATTTCAAGAAGACAGGTCAGAAAAGTTCACAGTGAATCAACTCTCCATTTCAGCAATGGAGGCAAGATAGTGTTGCAATTTGAAATGAAATATTTCTATTGAATGTTGTCCATAATGCCAAAAACTCACAAAGTATTTTCACTTTTCCCTTCTGATTATACTTTTTAATATTAATATCTTGATATAGCAATAGAACACTTTATTCATTGACGACAAGAATATGAATCCAAAGATTTCAGACTTTGGTATGGCTAAGATTCTAAGGCAAAATGCCACAGAAGCAAAAGAAATGAAGTTTGTGAACGCGGTCAGTGGGAAGAAGTTAACTTCACTCATTTTCGAATAAATCTTGTTCTCGTGGATCCAACGTTAAACAGTATGTTTGGCAGTGAAGAACAGATGCATAAATGTCGGATTACTGTGTGTAGAAGAGTTTGCAGTCGACCGACCATCAATGTCTGATGTGATTTCCATTTTAACAAACGAGAATTTGGCTCTACCGAATCCGAAGAAACCTGCATTTGCCGACTAAGGTCACAAGGCAAAGTTTACCCAGTGCACAATCTCGGGTAGTGGCTGCAGGTTTCACTCGTCACCCAAAAAAAAAGTCGAAAAGCTCACCACAACAGCAAGGTTCTTAGTATAGCAAAATTCAGATTCATTATTTTCCTCGAACCAAAATGATTGTTTACAATTGCATCAGATCAAAGCCTAGTCTCAGATTTGATGATATGTAGTTCTTACAAAAGAAGTTCAGTTTCAGTACCAAAAGCCAAAAAGAAAGGCAATGCAACTCGGTGTTCCAGCAGCTTAAATATACGACGACACACATAACAATCATATTATTACATCAACTCGTACCTTTGAAGTAATTGGGCATCCAGGTTCCGGTTTAAGCATCTGCATCCAATACAGATTAAAAAGAAGTCGAGGTTAGAAATCTAAACCAGATTGGTATGTTTTAAGTCGATTAGTTCAGGTTCTGACTCACCATTCCGGGAGCAGTCACTTCTTGAAGAGAAAGAAGAGGGAGGCACGGGAATGGATATCGAGAGCTGTGTAGTCGAGAAAGCGTTTTGGTTTGACCCATCGTTGTCAAGGTTGGACCACGACTCTTTGGTAGTAGTAGGCCATTCGCTTAGGAAAGGTCGAATGGAATGTTGCTCCTGCTTCAAAGCCCCGGGTGAGTCGATTTCACTGCCAAAAAAGCAATGTTGCTGTCGTTGTTTTGGCATTGAAGAGTCAATTGTAAGCTCCGAGACACCCCCCAAAAACTGTGGCTCGTTTTTGGTCTTAAACATGGGATTTGAGGATACTTGGGTCGGCAATAGACCCCAGGTGCTATCGGTGCTGGAACCTATCCCCAGACTTCTCACACCCCCCGCAGAAGTTTCTTGAGAGAAATCATGTTCACCTGCATTCAGAGTCATTCCAAGGGGATACCTGTATTTTGCATTCTAAATATATAAAAACTCTATGTTCGATTATCAAATATGTAATGCAAATATGTAACAGCTTATCAAATACACGTTACTTCGGGCATTTTGCATTGACTAGCTTCTCTCGGGAAGGGGAAGGTGCTGAAGTAGCCAAACAGTGTTAAATGTATATATAGTCTATATACAAATGAAAACGCCCACATAGACACACAAACACGTTAGTTATGTTGAATTTGGAAGATAGTATGGTCTGGCGGGTGGAGAATAACACCACCCGCTAATTAGGCGGAAGCAATAATGAAGAATCAGAAATGAGAGAATGTATATAAAACTAAGATGTTATAATATATTCTATATTCTATGTTTCTAATACAGAAACACAGTACATATATATACACAAAGACATAACTGTAAATACCTATCCATAAACTAACACCTATTCATAAACAGAAACAACCCTATAGATAAACCTAACTATTTAGTTTTCGACAAGTTAGACCATGTCACATTGCACATTTCTTACCCACCAAAACCCAAAATTCCATCGCTCTTTTCTTACCTCCCCTATTGCTCTTCACACATCTTGTTATGGCCAATGGCCTTAAAAAATCCCATCTCAAACTCTCTACAAGGACTCACCGAGAATAAGCATCCACTACTCCCTATTTGGTAACAAAATATGAGTACAAGAGATGTACCGGAATTCCTTGTTCTCTATTCCATAAGAGGCGGGCTCCATCCCGAGCTTAGTTCCAGAGTTTCCATAACTGCTCCCCGTAGTAGTAACGTGTGACATAGCAGTTGACAACGACTGAGAAGTAGATTGAGATTCCACAGGCTTTCTTGAACGGTTGCGGCCTCGGTGCATGTGCCGCTCACAATACTTGGAGTCAGGATATGCATCCTTAGAGCACCTCCACTTCTTCCCGTCTGTCCTCCGGCACCTCCCGGGCTCGGGATCGAATTTCTTCCCATAATAGGAACAATAGTTCACTGGATACGCAATAAATTCAGAAAAACATAAGCTCCATAACCACAACCGTGATCCAATAAAAGCAAACAATCTCTCTATTATCAGCTTCTTCTTTTTTACTGACTCTATTACATTGTAGTATCTGTTCATCTATACTTTCTTAACCTGTCGAAGCACAAAGATATCAACACCGCCTCCACTGAGGGGCTCGATCTAAACACGAGAGACAAGTACACATTGATTGGCCCATCTACTACACGCTCTATTACTATTACTACCACGCTACTATGCATAGAGAACAGGTGTAAACCAAAACAAACATTACAATAAGATCTCAACGAAAAAGCATATAGTAAAACTTGATATCGATCCCAACCTAGAGTAACTATCATCCAAAAATCCCCAGAAAGATTGCATTTTGATCTCAATGCCCCATATACAAGTATGCTGGAAAGGCACTGTGCCACAAGCCTGCCAACAGAGAAATACTAAAACAACAAAAAGATTGCAAATTGACAGGGATAATGGTGCTAATCAAAAGAAACTGGTAAACATAAAAGTCACTTTCATAGGTCCACATGTTGGAAATAGGCAAAGGCTAGTCTTTGAAACTTAGACCTCCAGACTGAAATGCAGAAAAGCTTTTGGCCCGGCAAATCCCGCCTAGTTGGTCAGGCTATTGACTTTCGACTCCCAATCAGAGTGACCTATTGACTTTCGTGATTTGAGCCCCGATAAGCTATGGAAAACCTAATCTTGTTTAATTCATTGTGTCCTTTGTATCAAGAATACTCAATCCCCAATCCCCATAGCCCCCAGAGATAATGAGCAGTATATACAATGATACAGAGAGAGAATGAAGAACATACAGCTTTGGTGTTGGAAGAACCGGGCGGAGAGGGCTTCGAAGCTCCGGCGAATGGGGACAACGAGTTCCGGTGGCACAGGGACACCCGCCACCAGGTACTTGTATATCATAGCTTGGTGCTCCAGCTCCTGCCACTGCACCGCCGTGAACGGCGGCCGGTAACCGTACCCATACCCCTCCCCCGCCACAGAAGTCGACGGCCCACTCATTTCCCACTCTCCCCAAATCTCCACTCCACACCCAAAAAAGCTGCAAGAAAATATCTATCAAACTGAATCTGGAGAGATCAAAAATTCAAAAGTGTTCTTTTCGTGTTCGCTAGAGTTTGAAGACAGGACAGATCTTGCCATCTAGGGTTTGGGCAACCATGGAAGGAAGAGCAGATGGAAAAAAAAAAAGCTGGGAAAAGTGAAGCTAACCCCGCACAGTGAGACCGGTATTAATAGTAAGACAACTGAATATAGCAAGTGTGATTATCTATCACTTAACACCATAAAGACTCTTACTTTTTGAGTTAAACACTGATTCACTAATCACCCATACATAAAAATGATTTGTTTTATTCACATTTACATAAAACTGGGATAGATCAATCAAGAAACCAAGATTTTGTACTGTAAAGATGTTAAAGATTTTGGCTTTAATGAAAGTTAAGTATGTTGAGGTTAAGGGGAGCAGTGAGACAAGGAATGAAGGGTGGGGGAGAGAGGATGGAAATGATGGGTATTGTGGTCCAATGATGTTACAGCTCTTGTCATCCTCTCAAATGGTCATGTGAATGTATGATGACCCCCCTTCCAAAATATGCAAACTTTGTCCTTAAGGTTACAGCAATAATGAAGAGTGACAAAAGAGGATGTCTTGTTCTTTTTCTTTTGGAATTTTCTTTTTGTCTGGGGAATGGAATGGAACAGCATATCTTCAAGGATAAGCTTAGCCAACACCATCAACCCATGCACCATTTTTGCCTAGCTTTACTCCTAGCTACTCCATGGTCTTCAATGGCTTCCAATTAAATTTCTAGGGCTTTTAATTTGGGATTTTGATTTGTATTTGGACATTTATTAGTTGCCTCTCCTCTACTCCACAAAGATCTTTAAGCTCAGCTTTTTTACTTGCATCTCATCAACTTTTACTTTTTCAATAGTGAAGTTCCCTTTTTATTTTTCGATTGAAGTAAATTTCTAAGTTTATTTGTAATTATAGTAATATTTTTAAGCCAAACACACTGTGCTCAGATGGTGTGAAAGGTCATAAGATTGAGCCTCAATAGAGGCGTTGTGCACACATTAAGTTGAGAAAATATGTTTGAACAGATTCTACAATGTAATAGAATCAATTGCATTCTAAAAAAATAGAAATAGTGATATTTTTAAATTTTAGTTCTTAATTAATAATTTAACTTGATTTTGCTCTTAATTTAAATGGTTGTGTCTACTTTTGTCCTCCATTTACAATTCTATCAATTTGTTGTTATCTCTAATAATTTTGAATGTTAGTTTGATGAAGACAAAGGACGCTCTTGTTGAAGGTGTTAGGGATAGTAGCGGGTAACAAAACCGACATAGATGACAATGTGACTGAAAAAATGGTTGATGTGAAAGTAAATAGTTGTGGTGATGAGTGATGACTTAGATTGATCTGCATGTTTTCCAATTAGAGACGTCATGAGTTATATATTGTAATAGGTGATAACACAAGTTTTGTTACGGACTCAGTAGGCAGTATAAGAAGAAGAAGAACCCAAATTTAGACAAATGTAAGAGGATTATACATCAACTATAAGATAATATATACAACTAGAATACAAATTTTAGTAGTTATATATGCAAAGCACATTGTGTTCAGATAACATGTATTGACTCTCCTATATGGGAGGTCATGAGATCGAGTTTCAGTGGAGTTGGTGTTGACTCTTTGTGAACAATAGAAAATTATTATATTAAACATCTACTAAATTGTTTTACAATTTATTGACACATTTTATGCAAATTAACTTGTCTCGGCAATTTATCCTCATCAAATATTACATTAGTTTTCTCTAACTCTTAGATACAATGATCCAACTTATTAAACTGATTAAAAATAAACTAAAATTTCCCAATGTTAAAGGTCACGAATGATTGAAGAAAACATGTATTCAATTCTTCCTTCTTGATGATCAATTGTAAAAACATTTAATTAATTTTTGTAAATCAATAATTTTATCCTTTTTTTTTTTTAAATAGATACAATACTGTTCAGGTCAAGGAAATTGAAGGGGGTCCAACATGCCCCTCACTAGTGATAGGCTCTAAACATGTGGACTATGATATTTTTTTTTAATGGGTGATGCAAAGATTTAAACTCAATATTTTTCACATGAGATTGATTCTAATACTAAATTAAAAGATGTGTTTCATCTTAATTAAAGTCCAAACAGATAATCGAACTACATATTTATGTGAGTTAATTACCGAAATGGTCTCTTGATTATAGCAAAATTATCGATTTGGTCATTCTTTTTTTTTTTTTTTTTTTTTTTTTTTTACCAATTAACTCCATCAATTTTAAAATTTTTAACCAATTTGATCATTCGATTGTTTTGCTATTAGATATCCGTTAACTTGGGACCAAATTAATAACTTTATTATACTCAAGGGACCATTTCAATCATCATATGCACCATTTTTTTCAAAAAGTTAATTACTAAAATAGTCCATTGACTATAGTGAATTACCAATTTACATGCTGGAAATTATGGAATTTCCGACCACCTGAAAGTGATCTTAAATAAAGTCGAAAGTCTTGTTCCGACCACTTTTGGTATCCGAAAAAATCTTTATTGCTATTTCCAACCACTTTTTGCTTTCGACTTAATTTAAGATCACTTTCAGGTGGTCAGAAATTCTATAATTTCCAGCAGTGTTAGTCCTGCGTTAACGGATATGTAACGGCAAATAAACGGAGGACCACATTAGTTAAGATGTTTAAAGTTAAGAAACTTAATTAATTAGTTAAAAAGTAATTAAAGGTTAAATTAGTAATTTTGTTATAGTCAAAACTATTTCAATAATTAAGTCTATTTATGTTTATTATATGTTCAACAAAGGAGACTCACGTCCTATTTGCCTTTGACCCTTTGTTAGAACCTATTTATCTAGATTTTTCTAGTAGCACTTGGTCTTCAAGGTTTGAAACTTTGAATAGTGAAGCTTCATCAATACTAACCTCTCACTTCCTTAAATTAAATTGTAAACTTTTATTAATCGAAGAAACTATAAATAGAATTATATGAAAGATGTTACTCATTTGTTTATGTAAACAATTTTTATTATTGAAATGTATTTTTGAATTCCTTTATTAAAGGAATATGTATTTGATTAGTTTGTTAAAGATCGTAAATGGTATTCTATTTTTCGTGTTGGTTGGTCTTCTTGATGGTATCAGTGTGTGTGTGTGTGTATATATATATATATATATTAATGGTGAAGGTTTATTATCGAAATTGTCATAATGTTCTTGTTACAAGAGTGGTTTATCTAAAAAGAAAATCACAATTGGGGAGCTTTTCTTATTATTATTTTTTTTTTTACGAGAAAAAATTACAGTTAATTTTCGAGAGTGAGAATGCATTGATAAATTTTGCTCCTATATTCTTCTTATACCCAATAAATAAAAATCAATGAATTTTGATGGTAATGGAAGAAGCTCAATATTTTATTTTATTTTCCTTAAATGCTCTTATCATGACTCTTTTAAGCATGTTTGTTGTGAAGTTGCACTTTTTGTGGACCATGATAGTCCTTCAATGCACTAGGACCAAAAGTCTATCATGTATTTATCAATGCAACTAGTACATAGGAAGACTCTTTGACTTTCATTGTTTTTTCACCTCACTTCCTTAGAGCATCCACATTAGTTGGGAAGAATGTGGGGATAATGTAAGAGTGATTAGGAAAGAGAATGGGGGAGGGGAGAGAAAAAAAAAAAAAAAACAAAAAAACAAAATTAATGCTGTCCTGACGCACCACCGGGCGCGTGCACTACACGCGCTCGGCTTTTGCCCAGGCTGTGCGCGAAACGCGCACAGCCTTACTTCTTCTTTTATTTTTTTATTTATTTTTATTTTTTTTAATTTCTGACATTATGCCTTCATTTGTAGGACAATTATTTTTGAATTATCTCCACCCCACATTAGCTATTAACTCTAGATGGGAAGAAAGCAAACTGAAATAACTCCATATTATCCACTAGTGTGGATGCTTACCAATAGAGTGTTTTGGAACTACCTTTAAGTCATAGCCTTAGGTCTTTGTTCAATTCCATTATTTTGTTGTTTCCTAATTTTTTAAAATATAACTTTATTTGTGCAATAGAATCAACTAAGACATTTACAAAATTTAAATTCATATTTTTTTCTTTAATAAAATCAATATGTATAAAAGAAGTAATACTATTCAATTTTCCTATAAAAATTGTTCAAATATTGATTACCAAGTTACGGAGTAATATACCTCGTTTCTCCATTAAAGGTAACCCTAATTTGTTTCTCTCCCGCTTCTGATTAGGTTACCTCTCATCCATTCGCACAGCCGCCGCTTCTGCGAAGTAAGAGTATGCAGAGTCCGACCTCCCTCTTCCTCTCCTTCGTCACCGGTTACTCCCTCCTACGCTATCTCTGCCGCATACGTTGTCCACCTTCATCGTCTGCCCTCTCGGCTTCCCCTCCGTCGCCTACTCCGCCTTCTCCACCGGTTACTCATCCCCCTTCCCCACCCCTCCCTATCCATCGCCCCCGTTACAGGTCGCTACTCAATCCCTCCATCCCCCCTCCTTTTCGCACTACTGCTTCCCTTTGCTTTGGTTACTGGTTTTAATTTTTGCTTGCAGTTTCTGTGTTTTTTCCCATGATTCCCTTTCCTTGTTTACTAGTTTTTAATTTTCCTTGTTTCCCTTTATTTGTTTACTTGATTTTAATTTTGCTTGTAGTTTATGTGTATTTCCCTAATTGTTTTGACGAGTTTCTTCCTTTGGTTTATTTAGCGAGTTATTTTTTTTTATAAAGCGCGAAATGATTAAATTGGTCATGACGCATGTGAGTCTCATATGGGCGACGAAGCTGAAATGTAAAAGAGACTCTCATAAACTATGACATGCAATTTAGCCCGATCTTGTGTATGTTTGATCAGATCATTAACGACATCAAATAAGCTTTAAGTTCATCCAACGAATTCAACTTCAAATGTGTGAAACAGTCTGTGAATAAGTTTTCTATAGCATTGTTAGGGAAATTGCTTCTATGTTTGACGATAAGGAATGTTTGACTATTCCATACTTCTACTCCTGCACTTTTACTCCCTCATGTGACAATTGGTGATTAGTTATCTTCATTTTGTAGGTTCTAATGAAAATGTCCACATTAAAATTTAAAGAGAGTAAAAATTGGAAATAGAATTTGGGAGTAAAAGTACTGAAGTAGTATTTTCCTAAAAAAAAACACTATCTCTGTTAATTGCCACTTGTCACAATGACGTAGGATTCGCGTCAGCTTAGCTGTAAAATCAAGCTTTCTAATGCCCTTTTTGCGGGTCCTGTCATTGGATGTGGACACAGCTTTTAGTAACGCTTCCACTAAGAAAATAAATTTTGTATAATACCAAAAGTGCCCCTTCCCGTCCTGCCCGCGAATAAACCAAAGGCCTCTTCCCTCTCCCCGGGCAGCCCTTTCTCCGCTGCCCGCTCTATCCTACATCCCTCTTTGCTGACTCCCTCCTTTTACTCCTCGCTATCAAAGACCCAATCTTTCCTGCCTTCGTCTCTCCCGTATCAAACCATGAGTCTCTTTGGTCTTGGAAGGTAGATTACTAATATTTAATTAATCTTTTCAAATTCATTATTTTCTTCAATTCTCTGATCATAGTTGGATGATTGATTGCTGTGTTGTTTATGATCTCTGCGTCAGATCTGTGGGTATGAGTTCTTTGTGTTGATGCCAATCATAGCTGTTGAATTGTGTGTTTTTTTTTCTGGGTATATGGTGCTGGAATGAATTTAGGTTTAGAAGTGGTTGAATTCACCCTTCTGTTAAGAGCAAATAAGCTTGATTACTTGGATTGATGGAACCTAAAGAATTGGATTTGAAAGGTGGGTTTTGGTGTTAGGAATAGATTCAGTGGAATGGGGAATGGGAAAGCTCATATATATAGTTTGTATGGAGTTTGATCCATTGAACTGTAAAGACTTACTTGTTCTGTGTAAAGGATGAGAGGAGAATGCTGATATGGATACTTCAACTCTCATCATTCATCCATGCATGCAGGCCTATGTGGAATGCCACAAGGAATTTAAGCTTGGGGACTAAGTGCTTGTTATTTAGAAATTAGTCCTGTTTGACATAACTTAGTGGCCTTCTGTAAAGGCTTAAGCTTTATGGATATAGATCATTGTGCTGTTTGGTTTTCGATATAAGCTTAAGCTTTATGAATGGAGACTGTCGAACTGGTTTTATTGCACGAATCCTGCTGGTTATAACTTATGTGTGTTTATAGTTTCTTACTTGAGTAATATGTTTTACTTGTATGTCAAAGTTTAGCTTGTGCTCTGCTCTTAATATTTTGAGTAGTTCTCGTATTTCTCGCCTCCATTTGTTCCTAACGCCTAACCTGCTGTTTGTGTTCAGGAACCAGAGAACTTTCCGCCCTAAAAAAAGTGCACCCTCGGGGAGTAAGGTTGCTTTTTTTTCATATAAAGAAAATTTTGTTCCTCTTTACGTGCTTTGGGTAAGGCCTAAAGGATAAGGCCGTCTTTAATTCTTTTTTCCTCCTATTGCAGGGAGCACAATTAAGAAAGCATATTGATGCAACTTTAGGGAGTGGGAACTTGAGAGAAGCTGTACGACTTCCTCCAGGAGAGGACATTAATGAGTGGCTTGCTGTCAACAGTATGCTCACTCTTGCCCCCTCGCTCTATATATAATCCACTGCCCTTTTTATCCCTATCTATTTGTTTGCGTGGTTTAAAAGAAAACGATTCTTTCCAGTTGACTCTCTGATAAGTAGACCCACAACTGATGACCAAAAATTAGGAAAAAGAAAGGATTCAAAGCGGGTGAGTGGTATAGGATAACAATGTTGCCTAGGTGGGCGAGTAATAATAGTAAGAAAAACACATCAATGTACACATTGCTGACCTAAAGAAAAATAAACACTCGGCCAAGTTGGCGGACTTGAGCGCCTAGTTGGCCGACTCGGGCGCCTAGGCCACATAGTCGGCTGGCCGACTAATGTCTGCCTAAGGTAAAATCCCCTCAACCTAGGGGTGCCTAGCACCTAATCGGCTGCCTAGGCCCATTTTTGCAACAATGTAGGAGATCATATAGGCCCTGTTTGGTAAAATAGTTAGCCTATCAGCCAATTTTGCCTTATTTGACCACTATTAGCTGTTTGACTTGGTTAAATAATCAATACGAGTATTTGATTAATTAATTTTTTGTAACAACTTATTGCTCCAAAATGCTAAAATTCAAAAAGCTGCTCAAAGTAGTTTTTTCGATTAGCTTTTTGAAAAAACCATTTTGCATGTAATCAGCTATCAGCTAACAACTAATTTACCAAACACTTTTCTACAATCAACTAGTCAAACCTACTAACCCAACCAGCTAACAACTATTTACCAAACACCCCCATAATGTTTAAGGAAGCATTTAAAATTTAGGTCTTGTTTCTATTAACCATTAATATGAGGTTCCCTAAAAGGATAAGAACCTTCCTGCAAGGAAGGTTGTCAAACTTGTGTATATACAGCTTTTGGTGCTAGATATTTTCTTCTAATGCTACGGAGAGGTTAAACTTCGTACTAGCTCAACATATATTTCTTCGGTGTACTGATATTCTCCTACTTTCTCAGCTGAATGGAGATTATTTTACCTTTTGATTTTCAGCCGTAGATTTCTTCAACCAGGTGAATCTGCTCTATGGCACCCTGACAGAGTTTTGCACACCCGATAACTGCCCTACAATGACTGCTGGCCCCAAGTATGTTACATATGAACTTGTCTCATGTTCTTTGCAGTTAAAAATTCCGAATAAATGGATGCATTTAAGTCACTATTATCTCATTATTTGTATCCAAACTGGGTAATACTGGCAGTTTGACATTTCAAACTATCAAATAAAAAGTTTCATAAAATTAACATGTTTGGCATTGTGAGAAGCATAGTTAATTTCAGACACGGTTTTATTGACTTTTATGGATGTTGGTTTTCAGGTATGAATATAGGTGGGCAGACGGTGTACAGATCAAGAAACCCATTGAAGTTTCAGCACCGAAATATGTTGAGTATTTGATGGATTGGATCGAGGGCCAGTTGGATGATGAATCCATATTTCCTCAAAGGCTCGGTAATGCTTGATCTTTTGTTCATTTTCCTGTTTTTTTTCTTATCTTTTTCGGTACTATGGTTCGTTCTTTTAGTTGTCAAAGCAGAATGCTTATTTACTTCTTGTTTAATATGCTAAATTTAGGTGCACCGTTTCCTGCCAACTTCAAGGACGTTGTGAAGACAATATTCAAGCGCCTGTTTCGTGTATATGCTCATATTTATCACACCCATTTTCAAAAGATTGTGAGTCTCAAGGAAGAGGCCCATCTAAACACCTGCTTCAAGCATTTCATACTATTTACTCATGTGAGTTCTCGACTTTGAAGCCTAAATTGGTTTTCGTTTACCATTTTACGTGAATGTTATGTCATTTTCCCACCAAGACCAAATCTAACCATCAACTTGTTTAACGATAGAAGTGTACAAATTACCAAAAGATTTTAACTTTCAATTCACTAATTTTGCAGGAGTTCGGGCTTATTGACAAGAAGGAGCTTGCCCCGCTCCAAGAGCTTATAGAATCTGTTATCGTGCCTTATTGAGTGTCCCCTCTTATCCATTTCCCCGCCATGAAGACTGATTATTCTCCAGAGACTTGATGGCATAATGCCGCAAGAATTTCCAGTTACAGCTTCTTCACCTTTTTATGATTTGGATGACTTTACCTAGTACTCCATCAAAGGATTATCATTAAACTTGTTTACCTTGATTGTCATTAAAATCAGGTGTTGATGTTTATATTTCTGCCTAAGAACATGAACAGATTGCGCATTTTAGAGTTGAAAATGAAGAGTTCTGGTTTGCAAAACTGAATTGTATGTATTGTTCAAGTCTTAACCATTAAAATCAGGTGGGTACCTCTCTACCAAGGGATGGAATGGCATCTATCCAAGGGATGGAAGGGCAGAGGCCTTTGGTGTCCCCTCCAGTCAAGAATTGGGGCCTCACAATCACTAGCCAATATGCTTTTCTCTCATGCCTTTCTTCGTTCATGATTCGATCTTCTGGTGTCCTAGGCGTAGAGGAACCACACCAATCCATCCCGAACTTGGTGGTTAAACTCTACTGCGGTGACGATACTGTAGGGGAGGTTCTGCGGAAAAATAGCTCGACGCCAGGATAATAAAAAGCTTCTTCATGAGTTTTTTCCACTTATGGAATACCCTTCCCAAATTAGGGTTTAGGGACTAAATGTGAAAACAATCGAATAGTCATCTACCAAACTTAATAGTTAGGGACCTAATTTGGAAGGGATATCATAGTCGAGGGACTAAAAGTTCCACAATAGCACTCCATACGAAAGAAAGAGTAATACTACATGTACTCTCACATTCTATTCTATTTTTTAAAATTGAATTAAAAATAACTTCAATCAAGCCTCGTTAATCGTACCAGACACAAAATGGGACGGAGGGAGTACTTTTTTTTTTTTTTTTTTTTTTTTTTTTTTTTTTTACATCTTCTTCCAATAAAATCAAGACATGTGGCAAGAGTTTTACTCCGGAAAGAAAATTGAATATTTTATGCTTAAAGTGAACAGATCTCTTGAGTGCTGTGATTTACACCCTCCCAAATGCATTGTCGGACTGAGGTGTGAATTTGGGATTGAAGATTCAACCTTTTGGGGAGAAGAAAATAGAATATTTTATTTTTCTTTTGCATTTGAAACATTGAATAAATTACAATTTGCATGTACTAAACAGCACCTCAAAAGGAAAAGGGGCAAAAAAAAAAAAAAAAAAAAAAAAGAGGTATAATTGGAAGGCATTATCTGCAATAACAAGATTACAAAGAAAAAGTTATGTCAAAGGCAACAAGTGCTTCCTCAGAGGGCCTATAAAGCAAAAATGGCCATTTTGAGCAAACACATCTATCCATCAAGTGTAACCTGTGGAAGTCTAATTATTTCTGGGTGACCATATTTGGAAACCGCAACACCATACGCCCCTGAAACCACGGCTAGAACGCCAAAGACCATGCTGAACAGTTGAACGTTCGCTAGCAACTCCCCTCGAACTTGACTATCAGTGGAACGACACGATACCTCGTTCCCCTGAAGCCGGCAACCCTCGGGCATCATTGAACCGTAAAGAGTAAATGCGGTCTGGTAGAACCAGAGGCCTTGAAGTGTTATCGCAATGCCACTCGACAAATCAACGGGGAAGTTGGCTGGCACGAGGGCCCCGGCAATGGTAGTTACTATGCAGAGGCCTATAAGGATGACGAGGATGAGGTGGTAGTAACCCTCGAGACCCTTGTGTGTGGTCGAGTGGAAATAAAATAAGAAATACTCCGCACAGAAAGCCGTGGATGCAATCAAGCACAACGCTTGATGAGGTAAGGGAAGGAACCTGCAAAAGGAAACCGCAATTAGTAGCCATATATTCAACGTAATACTTATTTACCCAAGAAGAACAACAAACAAATCGGACAAAGACAGACTTATTAGCTTCTATTTTTCTTGCTTAAAATGGCATATGGTCCAAAATCTCTTTCTTTTTGAGAAGAGAAAAAAAAAGTCTTATCTAGTATTAGGTAGTATACTTCATTTTTGTCACATTGCGAATTTATGGACAATTAACATAACAACTCCTTGGCTTCCATAAGTTTTTGAATTAAAAAATTTAAAAACATTCGAACATATCTGTTTCTATAAAATGTGTAATGGTCTTTTTTGCCCCTACCCAGAGCGGAGTCTAACTTTGAGCGATGAGGGAAACTCATAACAACTACCTGAGGGTGTATATTGGGTAAACCCCGTCTTATGACCCTAGCTGGAAAAGGACCGCAATGAGGTAAACCAGCCTAGGTTGCCCATAGCTGACCGGCTTAAATCAAGGCCAGTCGAACTTGTAACCTTGTGATTACCAAGTTAATAGCCTGACCAACTTGACTGGGGTTGCCCCCGAGTGGAGTATAACTTTGTTAGCATGAGAAATGTGCAGGCTGCAGCTTTTTTTCTGTTTAAAATTCTTTATATTGTAAAATGTAAAATAAAGTCGGTCCATATGAGCTCATGTAAACATATTTTAAAAGTAAATTATATTGAATGTTACACCTTTCGTGAACTACAGAGTATTAAACACAGGTCCCACAGCATCCAATTTCAAACAAGGCCATTCTTTTTTAAGCCTAAATGGACCACAGGATAATGGAGTACACTATGGCAACATTTTTATCAAAGAACTTCTAAAATTCAATAAAATGTAATGGCAAGACCCAAAAACTGCATATAGAATTTCACAGAAAGATTTAGGGAAAAGGCCCGGTTCATTTTGGCACTGAGCGTTATTATATATAAGGAAATAGAGTACCAAAATCTACAGTGAATAAGATAGTGATAATGAAGCCAGATTAATGAACTTCAGAAAGTTATTTGCTATGACTTGTTTCCATTCTTCTTTAACTATGTTTATCATCATAATAACTTAAGCTGAGCAACTTTATCTTGTCTTGAATACTGGCAAAGGGGAAATAATAATATGTGGATGCTCTCCAAATCTAACTTAAAAGTACTGTAATACATAACGCAATCAAGACGAAAATCGAGAAAATTCTCAAGAAGATTGAAACAGGAAAGCTGACCTGGTTTTTTCGGAGAGTAGTACTATGATTCCAAACACGACGAACATGAGAAGCATCCCGGAATGCTCAAAGTTATTCATATGAGAAGGATTCAAAACGCCACCAACAAAGAGCCTGAGGTGGGTTGAATAGAGCAGCTCGATACACAAATCAATGAAACCTCCAATTGCTATGACATAAAGCTCCAAGTACTTCAGCTTCTCATTGAAGACCGTAACAGGGTTCCACACCCTTACCCGGAACGCTTCGGGGCTCGACACAAATCTGACTATTGAGCACAACATATGCCACACCCCAACCACAAGAAACAGTGTTCCTGGTATAACATGCCCAGGAAAAGACCCCATATGTTCTTTTGAAACTACGAAGACCTTTCCCAATCCACTCTAAGATCCTTTATCGATAACAGCTCAATCTCCACGGCCTATGGCAAGTTTGCTACCAATCAACAAAGGCAGCCTTTGGTAATAAAGAACAACACCTCCTCAATGATTCTGTAAGACAAAACCAAGATTTCATTTCACTAGAATACCCAATTCTAACATCCTCTGCTCCTTTTCTCTTCTAATTGTATGCTAGCTAAGCAATAAAGATGGATGCTTTGACACCTTTTTTCAACAAAGGAGGGCTGGAAAAAAAAAAAGAAAAAAAAAAGCTTTTTCACAAATTATCTTGCATACTTGGTTGTTTGAAATCAACAGATTATGGCCTACTCCCAATAAAAAATTCTCAACTTTTTCAGTTCCCCATACAAACAAATTGCTGTTCCATCAAAGTATGCTTTTCCTGTGGCACTTTTAGAACCAAAGTTATTTTCTTTCACTGGTAATTCATAATTCTTCAATAATTAAAAAAAAAAAAAAAAGGAACAGTACTTTGGGATTAACATAAAGGCCAAAAGGGCCATTCAGGAACAGTAAGAAAAAACTTGTAACAGCTGAAAGGGAACAAATTCGCCAAAATAAAGGAAGATGCAAAGAAACAAAGAAGGTTCTTGTAGCTGTGGAAATTGAAAAAGCAGCCTGCAAAAGTCAATCATGCATGCCTAGAAAATTAAAAATCGAATTCTTTATTGCTGTGAGTTGCCAAGATTGACAAACCCATCACAGATCTACCACAGGGCACAGACGATTCAAATCAAAGACTCAAACTTTCACAGTCAACAATCTCGGAGGAAAGAAAAAAACCCAGTTTCTAATCTCGATATTGCCCCAGTAAAAATCATCACAATATACAAAAGAATGGCACTGCAAAAGAAAAAAGAAAACGCACTTACATGAGTGTAGTACCAGTAGAGAGAAAAAAGAAATACTCCGTAATTATTAAGTGATTGGAAGCCTAATTGAAAAAGGCAATCATTTTCACTTTTCTCTGTCCCAGAAAGGGAAGAATGATGAGAGGAAAGGCGGTCCGCGTAGATGAACGCTCGGGAGGAGCTGCGCAGATCAGAGAAAAGGGCGATGATGATGGGGTCGCGAAGGAGAAAGCTGAAATGAAAACACAAAAAACGACGGCTATATTATTGCGTTATTATAAAACGAATTGCTTGTCTGCTACGTGGTTTTTAACGATTGCGGTAGCAATAAACGGATTGCCTGTGTCCTCCTCGACTTCACGCACATGCCCGTACGCGTTTTACGTGTGGCGGTGGGTGAGAGAGAGAGAGAGAGAGAGAGAGAGAGAGAGGAAGAGAGAGACAATGTTGGGGTTTTGCTGTTTTGGGAACGGGGGTTGACTCTTCATCCTTGATTGCATTTTCATGAGATTGAACCCGTTTGTTAATTATATTAATATTTAACTATGAGCATTTGATTATTTAAATCATGATGCACACGATTGCAAAAACGATGCCGTTTTGACGTTCAACTTAAAAAAAAAAATCAATTTTGATTGTCGTTAACGGCGTTATGTTGTGCATAATTTGAAATATATATCCATAACTTCATAACTATACATTCAGAATTGCATAACTACACATTTATAACTTCATAATTATACATTCAGAATTACATAACTACACATCCATAACTTTATAACTATACATTCAAAATTGCATAACTACACATCCATAACTTCATAACTATACATTCAGAATTGCATAATTACACATCCACAACTTCATAACTATACATTCAGAATTGCATGCATAACTACACATCCATAACTTCATAACTAATATTTCAGAATTGCATGCATAACTACATATACATGACTTCATAACTATACATTCAGAATTGCATGCATAACTACACATTCATAACTTCATAACTATACCTTCAAAATTGCATAACTACACATCCATAACTTCATAACTATACATTCAAAATGTGAAATTATAAAATTATGAACATATGTTTATGTAACTAACGGCAATCGAAAATGATTTTTTTTAAAAAAGTAAAACGACGCTGTTTTTGCAACATGCATGATGCACACGGTTGCACAACATAATTTGCCTAACTCAGCTAAACACTTAGGCTAGATCAAAGAGTTGCTCCCACATTGCCTAACTCAGCTGAACACAGAGCCCCTCACTTTGAGAGGTTGCTCCCACATTGCCTAACTCAGCTGAACACTTAGGCTAGACCAAAGAGCCCCTCACTTTGAGAGGTTACTCCCACATTGTGACAGGCGAGACTCGATCACGGGTCATTATTCTCAAACTTCACCCTTATGACCAACTGAATTGCCCATGCGTAATGATTTACAATTATAATGGTATGAATGAGTAATTTTATTTTTATGTAATTGTTAATAAATCACATAAAAAATTAAATTGTACAAACTGTGTATAATTATGCGAGAGACTAGACTAAAAAAGTGCTGGTAAAAATTAAACTTATGAAATAATTTTTTACTTTTGAGTTATATTACTAATTTTATATCTTTTGTTTACTTAGCTTCCATTTGTTACACGTAAAAGTAATGAAGTTATTGATGTACCTACCACATTAATTTTTGTTGTTGTTGTTGTTGTTTTCTTTTAACAATTTCAAAAATATTTTATATGAACTAAAAGGGGAGGGTTGAAAACTCCTATTGTCACACTATCTCTGCAGTTTGTGAGTTGATGAGCTAAATTTGGAATTGTTTTCTTAATCATATTCATTGCAAAGTTAATAATTGCGTAGATTGATTAGCTATGCACGTCGACTTTGAACATCTTGAACTTTATATTTTAGATTTTAGAAAATTCCTTAGATGGCATCTAGCAACCTTTGACAGCAGATTGTGTTAGAGTGGTTTGTCTTCTTCTCCCAAAGTATCAAAAAATATATATTTTATATAAAGTTGTTGTTAGTATTATTAAATGGGCAAAGGGTACAAAGTGGCTTGTGATCCACTGGTATTTGGTTGGGCCCTTGTGTTGGAGGTCTAAGATTTGAGCTTAATCTGTAGATTGTATATGTGGATATCCTTCTTTTTCCTTTGCAATAAAAAAAAAATGGTGATTAATAGAAATGGTGAGTTTGAATTTTCCTAGTTCCTTTGTAATAATTAAAAAAAAAAAAGGGCAGATGGTGATTAATAGAAATGGGAGTTTGAATTTTCCTAGTGGCCTAGCCTAAGATGTATGGCAATTTATATCGTGGACCTGTCCACAATGCAATGTGGACTCTAATTTCAATACACAAAATTTGATTTCATAATAAACTACAAAATTCATGTTCATAATGCACATGTTAAGTATTTATGTGTCCTTAGCTATATAATACACATAATTCATGTTTATTATATCGTATTATGTGTATTATGAACATGAATTCCGTGCCGTGTATTGAACCAAGGTCCACAATATATTGTGAACGCTAGTCCACGATATAACGATTGAAGATGCATTTGACTATATGAGACATTAAATGTTGTCTAGGTAGTAATAATGGTTCCTTTCGTTCTTTATGTTATTGTTATATATATTTTTTGAATGTTACTGGTCCTATTACATTGTAGTATTTGTTCATTTATGTTATTGTTATATAATTCTTATATATTTTGATGATTATTGTTGTTAGGGATGGAGCTACTGCATGTGGTGGCAGCTGTCCCCTTCCCCACCCTACTCCTTTATATGTATGTATGTATATATATATATATATATATATATATATATATATATATATATATATATAGTGAAAGGTTCCCGTGCGGTTGAATGCTTCCCGTGCGGTTGTACGGGTGATTAATGTGCGTGAGATTTGTACTCAATGTGCGTGAGTATTGTGTCTAATGTGCCTGAGATTTGTACTTAATGTGCGTGAATGTGTAAAATGCAGCAGAAAATATGGATGTCAGTTTCTCCTTTCCCAATGGGGTCGATCACCCTTCGCCGAAGTTCCCGCGTGATTTACGGAGAATCGAATTGCAGGTTTTTCGTGAAAAAATGGCGCTTAATCTTGGAAGTTGCTGAGGACACTCAATATGCAAGAACGAACTCAACACAACAGCATAACATACATAAGCAAGCTAAGGCAGCACTGCAAAGGTTTCCAAGAGAAGAGAGAAACAGAAAGAGTTTTTGAAAGAAGAAGTAACATTAAAGCTTGGGCTTTAATATGCGTGAGTTTTCTGTTTTGCTTCTTTCTGAGCTCGTAATTCTGAATTACTCACGCACATTAATCACAAATCTCACGCATATTAAGCACAATATTCAGACACATTAAGTACAAAACTCACGCATATTAACATGACGCACATTAAGTACAAATCTCAGGCACATTGAGTACAAATCTCACGCACATTAAGTATAAACCTCACACACATTAATCCTCCGCACATCCGCACGGGAAGCAACAAATGCACCTGATCCCTTCCCTATATATATATATATATATATATATATATATATATATATATATATATATATATATATATATATATATATATATATAGCATGCCAATGACATTGTAATCTAATGGCACGAAGTAGGTTGACTACATTGTAACAGAGTCAATAGTACTAAGATGATTTTTTGAATCCGATTGTCTTACTTCAAGTTATTTGATATTAGTATTTTTTGTTATTATATAATTTAAATTTTAATAGGATCAAGCCTGTTATCAGGCTCTATTTTATTTTATTTTTTAAAATACAATTTTTTAGAAGAAGTTAATAGACAATAGTAGTATTAGCTTGAAGATGGCGATCATGGGGTGCCCACGTCCAAGGATTACGACCGGTAAAGTAGTTATTCCACTGCATGAAATAGTCCCAGCTGGCAGTTGGGCACTGCATTTTTAATTAGAAAATTTAATTAAAACCCCCATATTTAATTTCAATTTCGTAAAAATTATGGGAAAAAAACCTGAAAAATTACCCATTTTCCTGAATTCCTTTACCTTAAAAAACAATCGCACTTTATTTACTGACTTTTTTTTTCTTAGTGTTTTTATTTTAATATCAATAAATATTATATATAGACTCCATAAATAATTTCTTTGTTAATCCAATGATGAGAGCCAACCATGTCGTCTTCATTCTTCCCTGTATTCATCGCCCACTTCTCCTGTTCTCCCTCTGTAATTTTAGTTCCATGCATCATGTAAGCCTTCTCCAACCCCCCCCCCCCCCCCCCCCTCCCCCTCTCTGCATATACATATAATTACATATATGCATATATAACATATATACTTGCGCCCCACGTATGAATACAAGAAAGACAAGACCCGGCATGCATGCATGCATTTATGTCTACTTAACGACATATCCAGTTTTCTAGCTCGCAAAAAGCGAAATCTCTGACCCGATTTTCTAATTCTTCTGTCCCACGTTTCAGAAATTCAAAGGATTGTGGAACAGATCGACGGGGATCGTGGAATTGAATGCTGTAATGGGGTGCTAGTTTTTGGTGGATTATATTTTTTTTCTGGGAAAGTTTGGATCTTTGTTTCTGGGAATGAGATTTGGGCATGGGTTTAGGGAATCTCGTATTGATTTGCAGTGAATAATAATTGGTGTTTTTTGAGGATCATCGGAGAAGCTAAGAATGTCGTCGAAGGTGGTGTACGAGGGGTGGATGGTGAGGTATGGGCGGCGGAAGATCGTGAGATCCTATATTCATAGGCGGTATTTTGTGCTGGAGAGTCGGTTGTTGGCTTACTACAAAAGGAAACCTGAGAGTAACAATGTGGTATGTTCCATGTGTATGTATATATATATTTATATATTTCTGGTAGGTTCTGTAACGGGTTTTTGTCACTTCTGATCATAGAAATTTAGTAACGTTTCTAATATTGATACACGATTATGGAAATTGTAGCTATAAGTCCACGATTTTTATTTTATTTTATTTTTCATTTTTAGTCTAGATGAAATCACATCAAATTTTGTCACATTATTTGTGTACGACGACGAAAGTTTGTAGGCTAAAATATCATTCACATGACATGTTCTTTCAAAAGGTGTGATTTTAAATTTGTCCTATGACTCACTGCATACTCTCAAGTAGAGGTTTTGAGTTTAATTTTATTCGTCACCATAAAAAAAAAAGGTGTGACTTTTGCACCAAAAATGGTAACTGAGTGAGTGGAGCATGATTCTTGTACTAAAAGATCAAGTTCAATTCTTGTCAATACCCTCTTAGTCGAGCATGTAACACAAAGTCTTAATTCTTAGTTCAGTTTACATCTCTTGTGTAATTTATAGACCATTATTTTACTAAAAAAGTTATAATCTTGCAAGTTGTATGTTAAAATTCAACAAGATTTCAAGACATTTCTTCATATTCATGCACTAGTAGTGAAAATGTCATCAAATTCGTAGGAATGTATATATATATATATACATATATATATATATATATATATATATATATATATACATGTCTAATGTTGTATCCATTATATTATATTGTTAGGTTCCAGTGAAGACACTAGTGATAGATGGGAATTGTAGGGTGGAGGATCGAGGGTTGAAGACTCATCATGGACACGTGAGCTGTTCTCGACCTAATATAGTTACTTCCTGCGCCTCCTTTACATCATCTTTTTATATATTTATATTATGCTGAATTATATTATATTATTTCTTGTCCTTTGTTTTCTAAAGAAGGAGAGAATTCTCCATTTAAAACCAATAAACCTGGGAATAATGCATACACATCTTGGAATGTTTGGTAAATAGATGTTAACCGTTAGCTGATAAGGTTAATAGATTTGATTAGTTGATAGCATTAGCTAATTATCAAAAGATGTTTGGTAAATTAGTTGTTAGCTGATAGCTGATTACATGCATGTAAAATGACTTTATCAAAAAGCTTATTAAAAAAATTACTTTGAACAGTTTTTTGAATTTTACCATTTTAAAGCAATAAGCTATTACAAAAAAAATTAATTAATCAAACACTCATATTAATTGTTTAACCAAGTCAATCAGCTAATAATGGTCAAATAAGTCAAATTGACTGATAAGCTAACCAGGTTACCAGGACCTTAATCCTTTCTCCCGCAAGTATGCTTAATACTTCTTTTTTATCTTCTTCTTCCTTTCTTTTATTATTTATTTATTTTTATTTTTATGTTTTATCTGTGAGGGGTAATACTAATTCTTCATATTTGGCAGATGGTTTATGTCTTGTCAGTTTACAACAAGAGAGTGCAAGACAACCGTTTCACGGTATGCAACACTCTTTCTTATATATGCAAGACCTAATTGCATGATTTTTTGTGGTTCAGGGACACAATTGCATTGTTTTTGAGTTCGATGACCTAATTGCACTTTGGTGTGCAGTTCAGTGGCCTATTTGACCCTCTATGTTTGTAACACAGTTAAATTGATTGATCAATCTAAAAATAATAATAACTTTGCGTCGCTAACAAGTCACAGAGTGAAGTATAGAATATGGCCTTATTGTGTTATCGGGATAGGGATATAATTGTCCACACGAGCTTAATTCACTAGTTCAGTAAACTATTTGAAAGAATAGATCAAGGTTCGAACTTCGACAGCGGCAGTATAGGGATTATGCCTAAAGTGAGTAGAACCCCTGTGCAGTGTCTGCTGAGCCATTGAGCCACCGTGATTTACATCCTCCCAAGTGTTCTGTTCTGAATATGAAACCATGTTATATATATATATATATATATATATATATATATATATATATATATATATATATATATATTCTGCTTGCTCAGTACTTATGTTTGGGGAAGATATCAATTCATGGAAATGGTATACTCTTTTTCCAGATGGCATCTTTCAACATTCAGGAGGCTCTAACATGGAAGGCGAAAATCGAATACGTGATTGATCTGGTTGTTTTATCATCTGATAATGTCTTTCTCTCCTTAAACTCCTTCTCCCAACTCTTAGTTGAGCTCATATTGTTCACAACATGAATTGATCGATATTCTCCATTCACTTTATACTTCTTCCTCAGAGGAATATATAAAAGCATAATATATTAAAATAGTAAACGTGCAGTCCAACTATCAGCTTAGACCATCTTTCAGTTGTTCCCGGTCAAATGAGCTCAAATAAGATGGGAGGGAGGGAGTGCCATAAGAGTTTTTCTTTTATTCATGTTTCATATGCCTTGATATGAGTTGATAACTATAATGTGGATGGTCTGCAGCATCAAGACTCAGTGAACACTAATAGCATTTCCTTTGAATATAAACCTGACATGGAAAGGAATGATTCATCATCAGATAATGAGAGCCAGTAAGTCTCATGTTTTTTTTGGTACTTCTTGGAATCTTCTGCAGCATAAAGCATGTTTTTTCTTTAAATGGTATATATATATATATATATATATATATATATATATTTTTTTTTTTTTTTTTTTTTTTTTTTCTTGATGAATTTATAAGTTATAACTGACCATAGTAGGATGTGGTTGGTGAATTTTTAAAAAAAAATAAAAAATTGTTCTAGGCCAAAAACTTGAGAGTTTCGAAGAATAATGGACAAGGTTAGAGGATCCATTCTCGTCTGTGTACGCTAAACTTTGAGCTAAGCTTTTTCAAGTAAGAGTTAAATTCTGCAAGCTCAACCTAGACTGAGTCTCTCAGTGGTAGAATACCCGATATTATATGCAAAAAAAAAAAAAAAAAAAGTATTGACTTTGCCATAACATACTAGACACTAACCTTGCCCACAAAAGGCGAAATTCCCTCGCCCCAGGGCTCCCACACCAGAGCCCGATAGGATAGTGGAGAGGTAAATCACAGTGAACTAACGGCCCATTAGGTGGGAGGACTAGTGCGTGCCCACAACGAGCCCGATAGGATAGTGGAGGGATAAATCACGGTGAATTAACGGCTCATTAGGTGGGAGGACCAGTCCGTGCCCACAACGAGCCCACCACATTGGGTGTAACTCCCACACCGCGGTTGTCAAGGCTCGATCCTGTGTCCTTACCTATAATCTACCACCCAGGAACCTGTGGTAGCTCAGAGCCTCAGACACTAACCTGGCTCCATAAACTAGTGTTCTCAAATCTCAAGGCTACATTTATGATTATATGAGTTTAAAAGGGTTTGCAGCATTAACACTTACCTCGGTTTTCCAGGTTTAGTGCTGCTGAAGATGAGGAGGATGATTCTAACCAGGAATTGTTGAGGAGGTCAACAATTGGGCATGGTTAGTTGTTGCGTAGTTTCCTTCTAACTTTAACATCATCTGACTTCTTTTCTTCAGCTGAAACTTATGAATCTTTGTGTTATCAGGTCCTCCTGAGTCCATATTGGACTGGACAAAGGAATCGGGTTCCGATTCTGCAAACCAGAATGCTAAAGCTACAAAGTACTGGCGCCTGGTTCAATGTCAAAATGGTGTGTTTACGTTTTGGGTATAACAATCATTTAAACTGTGAGAAGAAGAGCGTAAATGATACCAATATGCATATGGTTGCAGGGCTTCGCATATTCGAGGAGCTAGTTGATGCTGACGCTGTATGTGATCACCTGCAACTTTGAAATGCAGAATCCATTATAGATTATAGCAATAGTTCAGGGTGTTATCGTGACCAGTTTTCTTTTGTGTAGCCAAAGAGATGCAGAAGAGCAATGAAGGCTGTTGGGATTGTTGAAGCTAGCTGTGAAGAAATCTTTGAACTTGTAATGAGCATGGACACAACAAGATTTGAGTAAGTGGTCGGTTCAATGGCTCAATCCAGCTAATTTTTTTTTTTCCTCTTTTCACTAATAATCTGTAAGACTAGTACCCTCACCGAGACTAATCTGGATTTGGCTTCTACCGAGGCCATGACCCAAAGTTTGACTCTTACTCGGTGAAGGCCTGGCCCAGAGTTTTTTAACATGGCAAACCCATATAAGAGTCGACCATTCAACCTTGCAGTTGTATTAGCATACACTTATCAACTGTCTTAAACTGTTGGGTCGATCTAGCTAATTTGAACTCATGGACTTCTTTTGTCCCCTTCTATCAATCTTCTGCTGCATATAATATGAAAAGAGTAGAAAATCAGTCCTTGAATGAAGAAACAGTAAATTTAATGAATGAACTAGGCTCTTGTATAACCAGCTTGGTTGGCGTGACTGGCCGTGCACTCTCATCCCTTAAGAGAGGTCGGGAGTTCGAACCCCTTCTCATATGAAAAAATCAATCTGCTTAGCACTTTGTACCTTAATTGGGCCGGCCCGGTGCGAATGGGGATCAGAGTCTGCTCAGGACACCTCATGGCCTGACAAAAAAAAAAAAAAAACAAAAAAACTAGGCTCTTGTATCCAAGATCTAATCATATTTCATGCACTTTTTAAGTTTTTAGTTTATAAATTCTTCAATAACAATTAGTAATTCCTGTGCTGTGCAAACTATTACTGTTCAGGTGGGATTGCACTTTCCAATATGGTAGTTTAGTTGAGGAGGTGGATGGGCATACAGCAATACTCAATCACAGACTTCAACTTGACTGGTTCCCCATGTAACAAACATTTTCCCGGTTTCTTTCTCTTCTTGCTTTCTCCTTTTCATACTCAAGTAAAGTCACGCTTTTTGGCTATGGCAGGTTCGTGTGGCCCCGTGACCTCTGTTATGTGCGTTACTGGCGTCGAAATGATGATGGTACCTACGGTAAATGCTTCCATTTCCATGACATTCCGTTTCTTCAATCCCCCCCACATTACAGTTCTCTTCTGTGAATGTATTCTTGATGGATTACACCGTTGTTGCTGTGCAGTGGTATTATTTCGTTCCAGGGAGCATGAAAGCTGTGGTCGACAACCAGGATATGTGCGAGCACACATCGAGAGTAAACCCTTTGTTGCTTTGCCTTGTCTAGAATAGTTTTGAGGTTTCAACTTTAAGTCTGCTCTCATGTTTCTGGTTTCTGCAGGTGGTGGATTCACTATTTCCCCCCAGAAATCACGCCATGGGATTCCCAGAACAAAGGTTCAGTATCTCATGCAGATTGATCTGAAAGGGTGGGTAGTGGGTCATCTCTCATCATTTCAACAGCACTGCCTGTTTCAGATGTTAAACAGTGTTGCAGGTGAGATCATATGCCAAGCAAACTTGTCTTCGGGAACTATCCTGCAAATCTGCAATAAACCATACTAAAAGGCTGAATCCAACCACGGACAACCGGGTGAACTCAAGCTTGGGGTTGGACTCTCCCTCCAAAACAGAAGAGGGATGAACAAGCTCTGATACCATGTTAGAATCTAAAGATTGGGCCACTCAACTGGACTGTAATGCACATGGACCAAACCACATTAAAAGACTGAATCCATGTTATTAGAATCTAAAGATTGGGCCACTCAACTGGACTGTAATGCACACGGACCAAACCACATTAAAAGACTGAATCCAATCAATTAGCTGGTCTAACCCATGACCTTATAAACCCATATGTTTCTCTCTTATTTTTCAATGTGACACTCCAAACAACGTGGTGTGCACCACGCGGACCTTACCCCAATCTTGTTGTGTTTGCTACCTCCATGTCTTCCTCCATGATTACTCCTCTGGTCTCTTCCTGGCATGAAATTTCTCGGGTCTGAATCCGAATGGTAATAATTCTCCTATGTAATCTCCACTTGTGCTTTCCTGCAGGACTTCGTGAATACTTTTCACAAACTGATGGAAGGACTGCAGCCCCAGGAATCCCAGCTATGGTTGATATGGCATCTGTTTCATCTAAGAGGAACGAGAAGTTCAACGAGAATTCTTCTCCTCATAACCGCAGTCCTTCTCTAGATCAAATGAGCGCTGCAAATAAAAAAGCAGCAATGTTGGATGAATACTCTGATGAGGATGAAGACTTCCAAGTGGCAGATCAAGAGGTTTATATTGCACTTCTGTTTATCATAATTTCTTCATTCATATCGCTTTAACCATGCTTCCATGAATATTTACAGGAAGGGAAACCCCTCCTTGAAAATGAAGTGAAGAAAACAGGTATGCTGACAGTTTACTACAAATCATTTTCTTATATCTATATTTATCATCAGGAAAATACATATTTACACTCTTACCGTTTTGAAGCCCCTGAAGAGGAAACCACAGACCAAATCGATTTCTCCATTTTCTCTGGCAATCTTCAACATGATGACCGAGATGATGCTCGTAACTCCTGGAATATATCTGAGGGAGGCAACTTTAAAGTTCGTGGCAAGACTTTTTGCCAAGACAAATCAAAGGTCCTTAATTCATCGATCTCCTGTTTTCTTGATATATATTCATGCTTTTTAAAGAAAACATTTTTTCTTATTTGCTTGAACATCACCCCTGGACATTTCTTACTAGGTTCCTGGTGGTAAACATATGATGGATCTTGTGGCAGTGGATTGGTTCAAAGATACAAAACGAATGGATAATGTTGCAAGGCGCCCAGGTTGTGCTGCACAAGTAAGTTTTCATAGTAATAATGCCCTGTGTCTGAGCAAGAGCACGTGAAGTTTATAAACCATTACATATAAGCTTGGACTGTTAGTTTTTAACGCCTTGAAATCAAATATAGTACTGAAGTTCTTAATTTTTAATATTCCTATTCCAGGTTGCTTCAGAAAAAGGACTCTTCTCTTTTGTTGTAAATCTGCAAGTGAGCCATGTCAACTCCTTACTTAATTTCTGTTTTTTTTCTTTAATTGTCAATGGTTATAAATTTTGAAGACGGCTTTCTTCTTCTTGAAGATACCCGGGTCAACACAATACAGTATGGTTTTCTATTTTGTCACAAAAGAATTGGTACCCTCTTCCCTCTTCCAAAGGTTTGTTGATGGGGATGATGAGTTTCGCAATAGTAGACTAAAGCTAATCCCAGCAGTGCCCAAGGTACTTCCATTTGAAACCCGATTGGTTCTTTTTGGTAGTACTAACTACTAAGTATTCATTCCTAAACACATTACATTGAAGGTGTTGGATGTGAGGTTCGATATGTTATTGTCTATATTGTAGGGCTCGTGGATTGTGCGCCAAAGTGTAGGAAGTGCCGCTTGCTTACTTGGGAAAGCTGTTGACTGTAACTATTCCCGAGGTCCCAAGTATTTGGAAGTAAAGACTATTGTTCTCTTACATCTGCATATCTAAACATCAGAGTTGCTAGTAGGAAATAACGTTTATTTCAGTTCTCCAGTTTTCCATTCTCTATTCTCTATATTCAAATTGGAGAAATGTATAAATAAACGCGTTTTTTGTTTTCCTTTCTCCAGTTTTCCATTTCTTTAGAAAGACGGAGAATTTCTACTGTTAGTACTCATTCTAACGCCACTTACTTGTCTATAGGTTGACGTTGATATAGGCTCTTCCACAGTCGCAAATGGAGTATTGGGGCTCGTGATCGGTGTTATAACAACACTAGTAGTTGACATGGCTTTTCTTCTACAGGTATATATCTGTCTATTTCTTTGGTACATCTGAGTGAAATGGAAATTGAACCTAAGACTTACGTAGACTCATAACTTATGCTGCTAGACTATAATGCCTTAGTCAAACCAAAAACCCAAATTGAAGCATGTGCTCCATCTCAACTAAAAGCCTAAGCTGATAGTTGGATTGCACATTAATGGCTATATGCTCAACACCCCGTATTCAAACCCATGACCTTTGGCATGACTCTAATACCAAATTGAAGCAAGTGATCTCCCAACTAAAAGTCTAAGCTGATAGTTGGATTGTACATTAATGGCTATATGCTCAACAACCCATTCTGCCAAGGAAGAGAAATACTCACTATATCCTATTTTCTGGTGTATATCATAAGCCGGGCATATCCTACTCAGTCTTAATCCTGACTAGTTGGGTCGCTACATGGATTCTTTCGTGCCAGTTAGCCTAACAACCACCAAAATCTGATGTAGGCCTGAAAATGTTTTAATGGGGTGATTTTTTATTTTTTATTTTTTTTGGTTTAAATTGTGCTAATTAGGTGTTTTACATTACTATGCTACTCAGGGAAACACTCCAGATGAGTTGCCAGAGCGGCTCCTGGGGGCAATCCGTCTATCGCACATAGAACTGTCATCTGCAGTTGAGCTGAATATGGAGTCTGATACCCCCGCTACTTCTGAATAGAACAGACAAAAGCAAGCCAGTTTTCACAAGAATCGGTTTTTCATATATACCTTAGTTTATGTTGTTTTCTATTCCTGATGTATCAATTAGTTCAATGTTTTTTTCTTTTTCTATGTAACTCCCAACTACATGAGGATCATGTTTTTGTAGCATATAGAGGGTTGAAGGTGATCCCGGTTTTGGGTTGATTAGGGAACACATTTAGAAGCAATGTATAAGAAAGATACGGAGTATTATTTATTAATCACAGCAATACTGAGATTGAAGCAAAGTAATTCAGATAGGAGGATCAAGATCTACAGTTTCTTACAGGAAAGCAGCAGGAGAAAAAAGAGAATAGCTCGGGTTCTTGAAATCAAGTCGATGGAAGGATGTCCAGCGCAACCTCCTTGAGGGAAGGCATTGATTCTTGCTGATGCAAACAGACGTAGGAATTCCTCGTTTTCCTCAGAACTTTCCATGGACCAGGATAGCACCTGTTTTCAGCGAAATATATGAGGATTTGAGACTGTTCATAGTGTTCTCCTTGTGAAACAATATTCTTAAATTTCTGCAATTATGTTTTTCTGGAAAATTGAGAGTGGTTAAGGAAGCAACAAACCTGAACAGGACACCTCCATTTCGTCCTTTAAAGTTGTGAATGTAATATACGGTCTCCATTTGAGGCAGCAGAGTAGTGGAAAGCGCGGCCAGCTTTGGGTAGAAGAATTTGGGATAATCTTAGTCGTTATTATGGACAAGAACAGAATGATTGTAACATAATCACACATGGAAATGAAAAAAATTACGGAACTTTTCATGAAAAATAAAAGAAAGGAATCAGTGATTGAGAGTACAAAAGGATACATCCAGATCTTATTCGATCCAGCTCTCCATTGAACACAATCAGTTTCCGGGAAGTGTTCACAACAGCTTCTTTGTAAAGCTCTTCAACCACAAGCATTTCTGGATTTCAAAGACAAGTATATATATATCAGTTCCATGAAATGTTCATAAACATACAATGATCTAGAGTTTGGGGTTACCATTAACGTTAAAATATGGATAGGCAACCAAAAACAGTTCATCTTGTGGCTTTACACGGTCAGTCATCTTAACTTTTGTTGTGAAACCAAAATCCTCAAATAGTGACGGTTTTGTCAGATAATCCAACTTGAACGAAGCTCCTTCAAAAGCTGATTGTCTTGCAAATGTCACTTCATTAGCCTCCGGAAAAAACTGAAAGGTTTAATGCAAGTTTCACAGAAGGCACCTGGTAGATTAAAAGAGCTTAATGGAAAGTAGTGACTATGAATACTTTAGAATATGAAAACAAGCTGCCAAAACACAAGATCGAAATCAAATAACCAATGACTTGGAGTAATCGAATACACAGAATTTTGATAGAGCTAGACAGAGATCATATGTCTACTATGTGTACGGGGTAGAAAGGCAGCCCACAATTACACCCCTCAAATGCTTCTCAACCCCCCTCCCCCCCCACCCCCCCCCCCCCCCTTCCATCACGACATTAAAGCAGCTTAGGAGACGTACTATTCTGGTTCGTGTGGCCTTCTCAGGAATGATGAAGAGGTCACAAAATTCACGGATTAGAGTCATACTCCCAGTCATTTCTATCCCACCTTCACCATCACCTGATGCACATTAACACTGGAAAGTAAATTGCCCGACAAAATAAGACAGCTGATAGCAAATAGATGCAGAATAGCCGTGCTCAACAGAACAGTCAGAAGCAGTAAAGGAAATAGCGTAAGGCGAATTGATATTGGGATATAACCTGGAACAGATTCCAACCCAGCAGTCGGAAATTCAATTTCCTGCATGGAGAAAGTTGTCACTCTATAGCTCTAAGGTATCTCCAGACTAAGAACACTTCTTTATTTTTCAGCCACTTCAGATGTACATGAAAAAAGAAAATTATCTCACCATCAGCTGCCTGTCGTCCTTCATAGCCAACTCAGTAGCATCTTTAACCTAATCATCAGAATTATTACAAAGTTATAATTGTAAGGAATACATACAATGAAGAAGCAAAGCATACGTTTAGGCCATGCATGATAGTCTAGAGTCGGTCAGAATCAATTAGTATAATATAACCCCTGGCTCAAGTAGCTATGTAAGCCTTGATGAACATTATTTACACCACAACCGTGAAGAACCTGTACTTCCACGGCTATGAACATTACCTATCCTTCTAAAACAATGAGTGCATAGTAATTAAGTGTAAACATGATTAGAATTGGCAAAGGTGCTCACCATGCTTGGTGAGCTAGGTATCATGATACAAGGAGCAACTTCCAAGTTCCCAATTTTATCCATATTTCCATTCACTATATTGAAAGGAAAAATGATTCCAATGAAAGGGGAATCAAACAGTAGTTCCAATACAATCAAACTGAGGGGCAACCCCAGCCAAGTTGGTCAGATTGTTGATTTGGTAACCACAAGATTACAAGTACAACTTCAAAGAGCGGCATATCAATCTTCTTGGTCTGAGCAAGTTAGCAACCTAGGCTGATTTACCTCCTTGTGGTCATTTGCCAACTAAGGTCACAAGGCTGAATTTATCTCATGCACACACTGACACACTTAAATAGTGGTTGCGGGTTTCTCTAGTCGCTCAAAAAATAATCAAATTGACTTTAATTAAGTTATATCAATCCATTTCTTTTCCAAGTGCACTTCATCCTACAACCAATGTTGTAAAAATCGGCCTAGGCGCCCCTAGGCCGAGGCGATTTCAGCGCTAGGCAGCGTCGACTATCTGGCCGAGTCGGTGCCCAACTTGGCCGAGTTGAGTTACAACTCATAACTCTGAGTGGGAAAAGTGGAGACGATATACACGAATTACTCGGTCGCCTAGGCACGGTAGGCGCTAGGGGCTCCCCGGGCGACCATCTAGGGCCTAGAGCCTTCTGCAACATTGCCTATAACACTGAAGTTTCGGATCATCAAATGCATTCTTATTTCATAACATAATGAAACACTCCGTACAAGAAATGAGTGAATGGAAAGCCATACTTGTTTAAGCAGTTCAGAGTAGTCATTAGGGAAGGGAACATCAAAGCCAACAGAAGCAGCCTTGTCCCCAGCACCAGCAGAGCAACTAATCACAAACCCTCGATTTCCTGAAGCGATTCTTTGATTTCTGTGAATAGGAATTGAATCTTTTTGGAGCTGAAAGTTTCTGCAACTATGGCCCTATATCACATTTCAACGAATCAATGAAAGCCCATAAAGAAGAACATAGAAACAGAGCAAATTGGGATCTTACTCGTGAATTTGAGAGCATAGAGAGTGGGATTGAAACGCCGGAAGAGATTGAAAGACTGGATAATGGCATTCTGAATTCGCACCCTCGGGGAGTGGAGAGTTGGGGAAGGAGTTAAAAGGATTATATACGTATGGTCTAGCCATTTAGCTAAAATAAATAATTGAAAAAAGGTCCCTCAATTGTTCTCAAATTACAAGCCTGATCCATATCTTTCGATTATTGTAAATATGATATTTCAATTGTTGACCTAATTTTAAATCAAGTCTCTATATTTCAATTATGTAAATATTATGGGATTAAATCAAGAAATAAATATAGCATCACTTAGAACAATCACAGTAGTGATTTTTATTTAATTTTTGAGGAAATTTTTGGTGAAGTGAAAGAGAGAAAGATGAGAGAGAAGGATTGTTGAGATCATACTACAAGAACTTGATTTTTTTCTGTGAAGTGGGCCCCACCACAGCGCGCTGCGCAACAATAACATCAGCGTTACCATAACTTTCTTTTTTCTTTCTTTTTTTTCCTGAAAACTAATTTTCTTGTTTTTTTAAAAAAAAAAAATTCCCATCCTTCCTACTCTCATACTTAATCTTAAAATTTGTGCAAAAAAAAAAAAAAAAAAGCTTAATATTTTTTGGTAGGTTAAAACACAATATCCCTAAGAAGAAGAGATAGCTCTAGAAATATGAAAAATCGCTACGAACAATATATTGTCAACAGTTGAGGAATCATTATATTAATATTTCTCGTGAAAATGTGATACACCCATAATACAATGTTACAATATAATAACTATTATTATTTACCTATCTAGACATACATATGACTATGCACTGAAAAATATATTAAATTTGTCTTGAGCCTCCCATCTTATTCTCTTATCACTCTTTTATGGAGTTCGTTGCTGCTCAGCTTCTCCCAAATACTATCTATCAGACAATTGAGCTAAGCCCGAGCAAGACAGGATACCTTCCCAATCAAGTTCAATAATGTCGGATTATAGACGGCCATGGCAGACCATATATATATATATATATATATATATATATATATATATATATATATATATTGAATTGGTTGTTTCAATTGACGAAGTATCCTCTGATGACTCCGCCACGGCTAAGAGACTCGTAGTTGGGATTGAATTCATAGGAACCCCATTGATTAATGCTGGGGTTGTAGAGGTACGTCATCAGATCATCAAACCTCCAATTGCAGACGTTAAACTCCGCTTTAGACGCGCACTGGTAATTGTGTCGGAAAGCCATGAAGGTGCCCATGTTGGTGGAGCAATTGTACATTGTCGCCGACGGGAAGAACGTCCGGACCTTCAAGTCGAAGGTGTACTTCTCCCCCGCCGCCAAGTGCTTCAGTTCCAGCGACTCCTCGAACGAGAAACACCGGATGCTTAGGTAACTTGTGTGGTTGTTTTCTATCTCCACCCTCTTCATCGTCCCGGCTTGCCCCTTCGCGTCCGGGACGATCATCACCAACACCGCTATCGCCATCATTGCGGCCCTTATCATCACCGCCATCGTGGTCATCCTCCTCCCGCCCTCCATTCTGCACTGCCCGCAGTGCTAGAGGTGCGGGCAGATCAGAGATCAGAGTTACACGTAATATGATGGGTCGACACCAGGTCCTCCCAGTAATCGCAGATTATGCTCGGGCCGGGACCCACACTGGGATCAGTAATATGATAGGTCGACACCAAGTCTTCCCAGTAACCTGCAAATTATGCTTGGGACTCGCACTGAGATCAGAGTTACACGTAATACGATGGGTCGACACCAAGTCCTCCCAGTGATTATGCTTGGGACCCGCACAGGCCCTCCCAATAACTACAGATTATGCTAGGGACCTGCACTGGGATCAAAGTTACACGTAATATGATGGGTCGACACCAGGTCCTCCCAGTAACTGCAGATTATGGTTGGGACCTGCACGGGTTCTCACCTAAAAAGATCGTTAAGTCACAGGTGGGTGATTAAGTTATCCTGTGAGGTCGGGGTGAGGAGACCGGGGGCTATTTAGGATTTTGAAAGGTTGTTTTGCAATCTGCAGTTGGTACCCAAGAGAAAAAATGATGTTTTCTCTCTTGACATCAGATCACTTAGCTTCTCTGTAATTGGTTCTATATATAGTGCTCATGAAATCATGAATTTTCTTAATGTGATCCGCTAAACATGCATATATGCTCTCCATGCCAAACATTTGCGTGTTTAGAGAGGTTTCTGTTTTGAATAAGATTGTTGTCCCTAGAAAATTCGCTATTATTGTCCTAACATTTTAAAATAACGTAAAATAACTGGACGGAGATTAGGGTATTTGTTTAAAGTTTTAGTACGTACTGAAATTATGTAGTCAAAACTCAAAATATAATCAAGATAGCCCTTAATATGGTATCTGTGGTGATCATTTTGTTTCTCAAAAGAAAAGGGAAAAAGAATGGAGATAGGGATTTAATATTTATAAAGTCGATTTTATTACTTGATCGGACCAGGGCCGTATTTTAGGCTGTGCAAACTGGGCTAACGCACAGGGCCCCCAATTTTAGAGGGCCCCAAATTTTAGAGGTTCAATATTTAATTTTTACCTAATTAGTTTAGAAATAAAAATTAAAAAGTTTTCAATTGAATTTAAAAGGTTCTATAAAGAGATGGTAAAAATGTGTATTTATTGTATTATTATATAATTTAAAGGTGAAAGGTTCAAAACTTGCATGTATTAAAATACGGCCCTAGATCGGACAACTTGGAACATCATGACGTATGTACACATCAAATCAGGTGATGAACCATTACACAAAGCGTCAATAATAAATTAAAATAATACGATTCTTATACCAATTTGATTTTCTTATTAAACACTGTCTCACTCAACCTCTCTTGTGGCATGTGGAGTTTACTGCACCCTTTTTAGGGGTGGACTAACAGTCTAAAAATAGGAATATTTTAATCATAGAATACAATACGTTGTATTTATATCCTCAGCAGACCTTACACCACTAAACCAATTTTTTAGAATACATTTTGATTTGCAATACATTATTACGTACAGAGATGACATGAAAATGCATACAGATCAAATCAGACCCATTCATGCATGCATGCATGGACTTCCAGAAACCTGAAAAATCAATCAGATCAGTTCACACTTTCACAGCTTGCACCTTATAATTATCAACCTTGGACGATTCAGCAGCTCCCCAGTCTTTGATGCAGGAAACAACGTTAATTTTCTCGGAACAAACCAGAGATCCAAGCTTCACTATGTCGATGATCTGTTCCTCTGTCAACTCAGCTACTGGAAGATGATGTTTCTGCTTTTTATTGTCTTCCACAATTGTTGTCGTTGCAGGGTTTTCCAGTGACACTTCCGGTGATGATGATGTCTTTTTGTTCTTGTACACAGCGTACAGCACAATTTGCAGAATTCCAAAGATGAATCCCAAAACGTTTGGAACCTGATAATGAAGATCAAATTAAATTCAATTATTAATTAATAATTTGGGTTAAGATTATGATGGTTCATAGCTGGCCGATTCAAATAAAAAAGATTAATAGATAGATGTCTGGTAATATATGATTATTTCAGTTAATTAACTTACAGCAATGTTCATGTCTTTAAGAAGTAAGCCATAGAAGAACCATGCAACTGCACTTAAGGTGAGAAAAACGGATAGCAGAAACGGCATGTGCTCCACACTCTTAGTTCGTATCACTTGTCTCTGCACAACGTAGGAGAAAACCTTAAAGTTTACTAATATAAATTTTTTTTTTTTTAAGTTACTGAAAAGACAGCAGTTGCTACTCGAAAGTGCACATTGAGTGAAATCCGCCTTGTAATTTTTGCCCCCAAAAAATCACAATGAGATAAACTCACTTATGTCTTGTGACCCTAGCCAGCAAAGAACCACAAAAGAGTAAACCAACCTAGATAGGTTGTCCATAGCTAATTGCCTCAAACCAAGAAGGTTAATGCATTGAATAGCTCTCAGTGAGAGTTAAACTTAAAACTTTGTAATTATCAAAGTCAACTATTTGACTAATTTGGTTGGTTTTCATAACCATTACTAAATAATAATCATTAGACGACAAAGTTAACTTAAATTAATTAACCTACCAGAATGCACAATGGGGCGACAAATACGCACAAAGAGAACACGAGACAAATCCATCCTACGACTTGGGCACGGATTATGCCTTTGAATAGAAATTGGGTGACAAGAACTATGGCACCAAAGCCACCAACTACCATAAGAAGTAGTAGCTTCAGGGTTTGTACCTGCATATATATACAAATTAATTAATTAATTAAGTTGTAGATTCAGTACATGTATCCATATATTTATACGTATATATAAATGCATGCATGTAAAAAAAAAAAATAGTAAATTCTATATAATAATAAGACATTGCATGACAGAATGAAAAGTTGTTTTACTTAGCTTTTTTTTTTTTTTTTTTTTTTTTTCATTAAACCCCGATACTATATATGTTGTACTAGGCCTAGTACAACTAATCATATATGCAAGTGGCACTAAATCAGCTTTGTGATAAAGTAATTTTGCATGTAGTCACTATAACCTAACAGTTATTTACAAAACACTTTTCTACAATCAGCTAATGCTATCAACTAGTCAAACTCAATAACTCAATCAGTTAATTAACAGCTATTTACCGAAGACGCTCAATAATAAATGAAGTGCATGCTCACCCTGTCTTTCTTGGTGGCGTAGAAGAGGTAGAAACAAACGTAAATGGTTTCGATGAAGCAGCCAAAGGAGTTGATGGTGATGAGAAGTGTGGTGTTGGACTTGAGAAAAGCATAGTAAATCCACAGCATGGCACTGAACAGGGCGACAACATAGGGGATTGACTGGAACCCTTCTGTCGTCTTTTTCTTGTATATCTGGTAGAACGTAGGCCTGCATGCATGCATGCATGTCGTGTATTAGTGTATATATAAATATTAATTTGTTTTTTAAGGATATATATATATATATATATATATATATATATATATATATATATATATAAAAAAACAAGAGATTAGGGATCGGAAGACATTAATAATTAATTAGCAAAAACCACTCACAGTGGAGAAAGGAACACGAAGAAGGAGATGATATTTCCTGCACAACATATATAATTCAAACCAAAAGTTATTCAGCAATTCAGATAGCAGTGTGTGTATTATACTATATTATATAGAGAACCTGGGGACAAATCCAATTAAACCATTGATCTAGTAGATCTAAGAGTCGAAAATAAACAAAACTTTATAATATTTATGAAAATGACCCCGCTCATTATAAAAATTTATAATATTTATGAAAATAACCCCGCTCATTTTTTACTTAATTTTCCATTCATCAGATCTTGTAGATCAATGATTTGGATTTGTCCACAAGTTCTTGAAGAGTGGTTCTCATATGGATTCTATATATGTACATAAACACGCACTCTGAGTTAAACTCACCATCAATACTTTTACGTTTAAAAAATATTTTAGATAATAGATAAATTATTCAAAAACAAGGCAAGCCTAGAATATGTGTATGTATAGTATTACTCTTTTAGTTAATAGATATATGAATGGAAGAAATAAAAATTAAAAAATAATAATAAAAAGATCTAGAATATGATGAATTTACCAAACACTCCAAATACAAAAGCCCAGTGACCAGAGAAACCAGCCATACTTTGTAGCCAAGTAACTGCTAGAAGTGGAAACTAAAGCTTTTAGCTTATCTGATCTTCTTCTCAATCTCACTATATATAAAGATAGAGATGATCTGAAAGTCTGCAATGAAGTGAATGAGAAGGGCCTTGTTGGCTTAACCTATTTATATAGGAAAAATAAGGTGGAAAAGTTGGTGTAAATTAAAAGCGCCGGGATGGGAATATACTATATATTTAATTTATTAAAATAATGTATACATCAATTCAATAAATCTAAAGTAACATAAAATATGCATGCATGCCATGCACTTTTAGAATTTCTATAACTTCATACATGGTTGAAAATTAAACACTTCTTTTCTGACCATATATATAAAATAGTGGTCGAAAAATAGCCTTTAATTTTTAACAACTTTTAGTATTTGAAAAAATATTCCTAGTTCATCGATCACTTACTTTCTTCCCAAACTTTACCCCAATAACCAATTGAGCTGCACATGCGGGTATATCGATCACTTACATAATTACACGAGTGGTCACCCTATAGGTTGACTGCAACAACCGGTGAATGCTGATGTTTTTGACCACCAAAACAGATATGAATTATTTTTTCAAAAGTTACATTCAAATATTTTCAACCGTGGATGGTTAGAAAAAAAATTTGTCAAAAATACTCAAAGTTTCAACCACTATATGTTACAATATACTCAGTAATAAATATCGTAGTCTAAACAAAAAGTTTAAATTACTAGTTTAAAGGGTAAAGAGTCAATATTTTTTTTACTAGTGCAGTTTACTTCTCTTATATACGTGGTGCAAGCTATTATACAGAGCAGTATTTATCCAATGCACGCTCCCAAGTAGTGGCTATGTGTTTCACTCATCACCTAAAAAATTGAGAACCAATCAATAATATTTTTATTTGATGCTATTTTTCAATTTTTGATATTTTTTGCGATGGATGTCACGCTATCTTTTTTAAAAAAATTATTTTATGGAAAATAAATATTTGTGTTGTATGAAAAATTAAAAGTCCCATCCTAGCTATGTCATCATCTAATCCGGAGCCCGGAGGGGCACTCAGCACAAATTGCAAGCTTTAAGTTTTTGGAAGTGTTTGATACCTTTTTCTTATTTTTAAAATATTACTTTCCAAAATGTTATCCTATTCAACAAAAACTAATATATCTATAGATATTTGAGATATAGGTAAATAAATATTTAATTCTGAAATGTTTTTTTTTTTTTTGAATGATGAGGAAAACTTTCAGCTTGTATATTAAATAAATCTTGTTCAATTCATGTGTAATAATCTACAAATCGCATAAGAGAAGTAAATTGTTGCACTAAAAAGATTCTGCGTGACTCTTTTTAAGATTATTCATTAATATTCATGTACTCTAGCATATACTGTACTCCGTATATTATATTATATTGAAGAACCCTACGATACTGGCCAACACCGTTACATAAGTATTGGTGCAAGTCAATAAATTAAACTTTTTTATTTTGAAAAAAGCTTAGGTTTATACCGATTGTTATCGGGATAATTTTAGAGTAGAAAGAACGCGGGTATTGATCAACACCGTACCTTAAAATCTTTCATATTTTATATCTATAATCTTTTCAGAAAGAAACTTTATATTCGTCAATTATCGTTGATTAATTGAATTCACTAATATTAAAAACAATGAGATATATATATATAGTTTGCCATACGCTATCCTCAGCTCTATCCTTCCTCCGTCCTTTAATCTGGATATGATGCCTTCCCTTTTCCATTATTATACTGTAGAAAAAACAAAGAACAAAGAAAAAACAAATGAATCCCATGGTAGACATGGAGAACTGTACTGCTCTTTAAGGTTATGTGGATACCAACCCCACCCAAACATCACATAAATAGATAATGATCTATCCACTACTATATGCTTCTAATTCTTATTATTTGTTTTCAATTATTGAACCCCCAATCATATTTGAGAGATATATATATTAAATTTACTAAATAATTGGACCGATTAGCGTAATAATATGATCTAGTTGATTTGTCAAGAGGGTATAACAAAATAGCTTAACAATATGATCTAGTTGATTTGTCAAGAGGGTATAACAAAATAGCTTAACTTGGGACACATATGTATACTCATACCAAGACTCGAACAATATGACACAAATCTATTGAGACTTAGTATTCTGTTCAGTTTTACTCACCAAACATACCCTTAATTTTTCTAATATTAATGGCATATTGGCCCGCCAAGTCCGCTCCACTTTATTAAATAGCAATGTAGTAGGGCGGGCAGGCTAGCTTGGTAAGCTAATAAGCCTATTTTGATTGCTTGGGTGATGAGGAAAACTCGTAATCACTATCTGAGAATATGCATTGGGTAAAAACCGTTCTTGTGTAATAATCTACAAACCACACATGAGAGGTAAAATCACACAGAGGAAACCCTATACGACGAGCTCAATTTAGGAAAGAACCAAACTCATGACCTTCTACTGATACGAGAATCATGTTACACTCACTCGATGCCTCTTTCATGCTTGTTTCATTATTATTGATTTTCCAAATATTTAGGCTTCTTAAATGGTATGGTTGATCATATACATTATATGGCATATGTAAAAGATGGATTTTGGTATAAAGTTTGCACTACTTGCATTGGGGGCTTTTTTTAAAGTCCTCCATTGGTCGAGGATGGGTCCTTGTTATCCCCATCAATACGAATTCTTTTCTCCAGGAAAAGAGGGCAACAAAATTATTTTGCAAAAGTGGAACTTAGTGCTTGTAAAATGTAAAGTAAGAATAAATGTTGCTCTGAAAGTGATATGGATTGATAAAGACCAAAAGTTCCCAATTAATACGGGCTCTTTAATTTGTCCTGTACTACGATTAGTGACCACATGTATACGCCGTCCACTGACTAGGTTAGACCATGAGGTATCTTAAGTAGACTCTAATGTACGAAAGGATTCAGATTAATCTCTATTTGCATCAGGTCAGTTCAATTAAGAGGTAAAGTGTTGCCAAGCACCTTGTGCTCAGATGACATGTAGTGACATCTCCCATGTGGGAGGTCATGAGATCGAGCCTCAAGGTTTCAGATTAATCCTTATTTGCATCAGGTCAATTCAATTAAGAGGTAGAGTGTTGCCAAGCACCTTGTGCTCACATGACATGTAGTGACATCTCCCATGTGGGAGGTTATGAGATCGAGCCTCAAGGTCTCAGATTAATCCCTATTTGCATCAGGCCAGTCCAATTAAGAGGTAAAGTGTTGCCAAGTACCTCTCCCATGTGGGAGGTCATCATGAGATCAAGCCTTAGTGGAGGTGACTCTGTGTGCTTCATTAGGTTGAGAAAGTATGTTTGAACAAATACTACAATGTAATAGAATCAGTAGCATTCACAAAGTGCGAGGGGCTTCGAACTCCCGACCTCTCTTAAGGAGTTAAGGATGAGAATGCACGATCCCTCCCGACCTCTCTTAAGGAGTTAAGGATGAGAATGCACAATCCCTTACGGCAACCAAGTTGGTTATAGATGCAATATTATTTGATATTCTTGAATTGTCACTTCAAACATAATAAGAGGTAAAATTGACTTACTCCACCAATAAATCAAGCTATGTGACGTTTTGCAAAGCACTACAAATTAGCCTTTAGCACGAGGAAGAAGAAGCTTAATTCAAATGCTCAAAGGTTATCTTTTTTTCTCATAGACCTTTTTCTTTGGGTCTTTAGGTGAAGATCGATTATTGACTTTTCTACCATTCTAATATTTTACACCCCTATTGTGTGCATACTAGTTAAGTTTATTAAAAGATGTTTTTTTTTTTTATTTAAGGGTTGAGAAAGAGAAAATCATATTTTAAATACTTTTATCAACAAAAATAATTTTAATTATTAATTTCTATATTATTTTTAAAAACAATGTCAAGATGCCACTAAACTCGAATGTTGGTTACTCTCTGACACAAGGTTCAAAGTTCAAACCATTTGTGGGAGTTACTTATTACCATTCTCGGTTTGTGCCAGTAAGCTATAGGCAGCCTTGTTCCTTGTGATCTTTCACCGACTAGGATTACAAGACGGATTTCATCCCGAACTTACATTTGAATAACAGTGGTAGACTTTTTCATAAATCAAAGAACGAAAGGATACCATCACGTGGGCAATCAAAAACACATAGATCGTAGATTCCTAGCTAAAAAAATTTGATTCTTTAGAGATTCGATTTCACTTCATATCTTGCTTTTCATAATTTTGATCATGATTACTCCCTTGTTCTTTAATTAGTTGGTATGTCTATTCAATTAAAGTTGTGGCTCTTTAAAGATCTAATTCCACTTAAAATCTTGTTTTTTCTTTAATGCCATGAAAGTTGAAACAACCCATGATTCTAATCTTGTGGGAAAATGTATGTATACAACGTAACGTAACTTTGATTACGTTATCAAGCAAAGTAACATGGAAGTTGGAACAAAGAAAACAACTTTGATTGTGATACATCAATAAAACTCATATGATTGAATTGAAAAACAAGCAGTTTCTATGAAATTACAATTCGACAAGTCTTATAAATATCACGATCAACATAATATATTCTTTCTTTTTCTACTTGATATGATAATTGCACTAATACTTGTCTACAAACTAATATTTATTCTTTAATTACGTGTTTATAAATACAACATATGATAGCTATTACTAGTACAAAACAGCTCATCCGATACTGCTGTAAAGGACTTTTCGCAACTGTTGTACAACAGTCGCAGCAGATACTAAAATCACAGAAAGCCTTGGACTTTTTGCTACCGTTGTGAAACAATCACGAAAATTGAGCATCCTCTACCGTCGCAGATTCTTTTTTATTATTATTATTTTTTATTCTTGACTATCCACAATTGAGAAGGTAAATTAACTAAAAAATCAAAAAATTAAAATAATTGAAAACTTTTTAACTCCATAACCGATAATCAAAAATTCCGATCAGTTCAATTATTTGACCTGTGGTTAATCGGTTTTTCTTGTGACAATGTGGAATCACCCACTCCAGACGTCCTCACACCTCAGCTCAACAGTTTTGTGAAAGGTTCTTTTTTAAAAACCCAATCCCAA